CTGAATTTGGTTTATATTGCGTGCACTGTTCTTATAATTCATTCCAAGATGCCATCCTCAAAGCATTCATTGAAAGTCCAGAACAATACCACCTACAAACAATTGCCTATCGACTCAGTCCGCGTGGGGCGCCCGAGACTAGGCACCTATAATAGACTTCTTAGTCGATTTTACGAGCCTTTGTTTCTTTTGCGTGTACTAGGACAGACCCGTGGGCAGCATACACGCGGCCCACCGGATCATAGTTTGGAGCAAGCACGGCGACGTAAATTCCTACGTAACCTCGCCTATGTTTGTGACTTTACCAAAGGAGGTAGTTCCTGCACTGCCATTGGGCTTGAAGACAGCGAAACATGTTACAACTTCTGGATTGCATCCAACGCATCTAGTGACAAAATCGTCGAATTCGCGAAGAATGCTCTCGGCCACCTGAAGCAAACTACATCAATCACTGGGGACCTCGATGAAGGACAAACTAATGCAAACTTTATCAGTTTCTGTCTTAACTTCGCGATTAGCCGAGTAAAAAAGGAGCGTCAGTGCTTGTTTCAAGCGATCAAACAGTGTTATTGCATACCGGGATCTGTGAGAATGGAACAAGGTTCGTAACGGCCAGATTGCAGAGTCTTACAATATGACAAGCTAACTGGCTCAGTAGATCAGGTATTAAAAGACCGGCTTGATCTCATTCTGGAACAAGATGATTGTCTGGCACTCTGCCATTATGCCTATGTCCAAATAAAGTCCGAATTCGCCAGGGTAATCGGATTAAAAGCTCAAGACGAAGAAAGGTTAATGGGTCCTGGAGACAAACGGTCGCCTTTTGCGTTAGTTATCCATTATCTAGGGCGACTGGCAGATCACATCCGGGCACCGTCGCAGCTGGTTGAGGATGCCTGCCATTTGTCTCACATCCTTGACTCGCATCAGGTGGTGGCTATTCCTTGTGTGTCTTCAGTGCCTCGGCCAGTGCCCGACAATCTCACCACGCTTGACGGTGTCCTCAACAGGATGTTGAAAAAGGATGACCCGGAAAAGCTTCAGATAAAGAATCTTTTGCTTTCCATTAATTTTCGGTCTCAATCTCGCACCTTCCAGGATTTCCTGGTACAGTATGACAAGTGCACGGCGCAGGTGCATGCAGAAGTGCAGGTTCTGGACCATTTCTTCTGGCAAAATCTGTCTTTCGTGGGAAATGACCGTTACATTGCTTGTAGCAAGCCGGCCTGTCTATGTTGCGAACTATACTTCAGGCACCATCCGGCTCGAATGGTCGTCCCTGAATCTCACAGCAAAGTCTGGGTTAATTGGAGCCCGCAATTAGTCAAAAATCCCACGAGGGGGGATCCAGAATACGATTTGCAGGTAAAGGTCCTCAATGAGATGACAAATGAGCTTCGGCGGGCTGTGATTGCTCAAATCTTTGATCAGTCGTCACCAAGTCCCTGGCATCCTGATTCCCAGACAGCAATTTCAAATGACCGGTGGTCTCGCATAGATTTGGAGGAGCTTCGGGGAAATGCGTTCCGATATTCATCTGCTGATGGCATTTTGGAAATGGAGGCAGCTAAACATAGCACGGCGAAGGTTCTTGAGGCAAATAAGCTCAGGACATACGTGTCGGATGAAGACTCTGATGCAGACTGTGGCGGGGTATCTCTCAAGATCTAAAATGGTATTCAGGATTTAACTCGCCCGTTGATTTGGTTTCTTTTTCTTACTTCTTGGAATTCCATACCTTTTCTGCTCTCATTGAAATACGTAATCCTGGATTCTCATTAGAAGCTTGGTTACAAGCTTGAGGCGAGTGTACTTCTGCTTCTTACCAGACATTAGCTTGGAGGGGATCTAAAATACCATTCAAGAACCTTCATAGACTCGACAGAGCATAGGCCCCACAGACGAAATTCCTTAATCAGATACAGAAAGGCTACTAAGATCTTCATGCTGACTTCGGTGGTGTCTCCGAAGATTGTCTTTCCTTGTGAATGATTTACCGCATAATTCACACACAACTCCCATTTGCCACCATTGCCGAGCCCATCCACTGTGATGCACTTCAATATGTCGGCGCATATGAACCTGCTGAGCCTTGGTTACCGTACATATGGGGCATTTAACTGGCTTAACGTGACTGCGCATATGCTTTCTGTGAAGAGTCAGCGGGATAAATTGAGAAAGTGGTGTCGTAGCTTACTGCAAATCACATTTTCTTGAAAAGCCAGTCTGGGCCACGCATGCACGATCTTGGCAGTGATATAACCCATCCACTGGTGAAATATCATGATCATAAGAAGGCATTGGCACTTCCTGAAACCTCGAAACATATGTTCCTGAATCGGCCCGTCCTCCAACAACCACAGCTGCGGTGGTACTCTCGTAAACTTTATCACTCAGGCATCCATCCAAGCCACGTCTCTATAGAAATTGGTTTGGAAGTGATCGTGCCTGTGAGTCCAACCCCACTGTGGGCAGAGTCGAGGCTTCCACGAGATTAGCAGAATGTGACTGGTTTTGAGCGAAGTCTTCCAGCCTCAGTAGGTTGTTCTGTGCGCTGAGGTCTAGGTATTGCTCCGGCCAAGAAGGTTCTCTGCTGTCCCCGATCACAGTATCGGTCACTATCGTAGAAGGAGGAGCCAGGATTTCTCCTTGTCTACCCCCTATCACGATTGGATCGCAATAGCCCTCAAGTGAAAAAGAAGTTAAATCGGCCCCTGAATAGATTGGCGAGAACCCCACCCGTCCAATTAAAGAACTCATAACTTCATCCTGTGGCCAGGCTGGGTGGCTTCCATCCTCAGCCTGGCCGATAGATACAGTTGTCATTGTGAGGGCAAACACAAATAATGCCGGAGAGAAGCTTCTACCACATATGAAGAGATGAGAAGCTCGATACCCCGTGAAGGAGATGACTCCCTATATATTAGGCTCAATTTGATTACCAGCCTGGCTAATCTGAAAGGGTTGCGCAAGGGATATCCCCGTGGGCTGGAACAGCGGTCTAGCCACTTACGTTGACAGCCATGCAGCGATGCAGCGACTCACTTGGTCAAATTTATTTTTGAAGGTACCCACGTAGCTGTCACATTTCTCATGTAGGAGTGTACGAATGTATTATTGTAGGAGTGTATGAATGTATTATAACGTTACAGGCGTGACTGGCCTAAGAATGGTTAGACGTACTACAAAAGGTATGGTAAAAAACAACAGGGAACAAGTATCTTAGCAAGGAACCGCATGCTGCTGAGGGTAACAATACCGGGGCCTCTAAGGCAAGCTGAGCAGGCTCGCGAAAGGTCTTAAAGCACTTACCCCGGTCCTATACAGAACTCCGTCAACAGTTCAGAGGTAGTGACGTGTATAATATACACAGTTCCATTATAGAGAGGGACAGAGTTGAGACATGATAAGCTAAATCGTTGTATACCTCTAAATATTGTATTAAGAGAGGACATAAAATGAATATTTCCTAGACTTTTCAACTCAGCGAGCGAAGGATGATGACTAGTAATCACTCATAAAAAGGCGCATGGAATGAGGTGTGTAAATGTATATGCTATATGTATACTCAGGAAAGTAGGTGAGGAATGCGACCGTAATTAAGTATGTCCTTATAACTACAGGTAATATTAGATAGAGGGTTTTCCGTCAGATTGATGTTGTGGCATGTACCTCCCTGGCAGTTCGCCGCAGCAGCCAGGAAGAATAACATTGGTAAGCATTTGTTAATTAGACATGGCTATCTGTGGAATACATTCTCTTACATAGAGTAACTGCCATATCCGTACTTCTCCATCTATAGCCGATTCTCTGGAGCTAGATTGTTGTTCGCATCAAGAGATACTATAAGGATCTTTCACCGCCAAGTCAGGAATACATTTGACGATCCCCCTGCCTGGGACGGACTTTGCATACGACGACATGGGGCAGGCGATGGAGCGGCAATTGCGGCTTCGTGTGCTGGATCCCTTGCTTTAAGCACAACTTGCTTTGACCTCTGAAAATCATGTAGACAAGCAAGGGCCCTTGACATCCCAAGCCCACAGTGAGATGACAACCAATGACCGCAGGAAAATAGTTTCAGCAGATAACCCCTCCCTCTTCATTTAGGTCTCACTTAGTTAGTTACCTCGAGCTGTGTTACTAAGCAAAAAGATGCATTGTAACTGCGACCCCTTATCGAACCTCTCGAAGCGGCGTGAGTGCATTTATATATTTCAATTGATAAAACTAAGCTGTAAGAATGTTCACATAATATATTTAAATAAAATTTAAACTTCTAATCCTTTGATCTAATATCTTAACTTTCTTAAAAAAACAATCACCTAAGATTTATTCTAAATTAATTATTAATCTAAGATTAAAAGATAATTTTCCGATTAAATAAACACGCGTGATTATTATTTATTAAAATAATAAAAATATTATTTTTTTTAATGAAAATAAGATATTTCTATTATAAAATAATTATATTATATTATTTTAAAATAGCACATCGTGCGATTTCATTAGAAATAATAAAATATTTATAATAAAAATTAAGTTAATCGTGACGCGGTAAAAAAAAGGTATTTTAATTTTTTTTAATAATATATTTTTTAGTTTCTTATATGATAATATAAAAAAAATAATATTAACCCAACCTTGATGAGCTAATTAATAATAAAAATATTAATATTTTACACAGACGTCTTACTTAGCTTAACCTTGTTGAAGATGCTCATCTACTCTACAATCGTTACTTTGCCTCTTCCCACTGATCCTAATAAACCCTTCAAGTACTAATTTCTGACCCCTTCGCAACTGGGACCCTTGAGCCTGTTCGCTCAGAATCCTAGTCCTTTTCCAAAATACTGCAGCTGGCAGGGGATCGTGTATCTCTTGAAGCGCACCTAGAGAGCGGCCTCGACACCCTTTTAGTCTCTCAGGTCTTTGACTAGGTGCTTACAAAAACGCGTTATGAGATGTTTACTAAGATGCTTTGGAATGCCTTAAGCTGTGTGCGGGATTGTAGGTCGTGACCTGCGGCCACGACCGCTAGTGAATTTATAGGCCCTTAGAGTATACCTATCACCATGACACTTTTCTCTCCACTACACTAATCATGCATCAAAAACCCAGTTATATAGCAGCCATCATCTAGTCATACTTATATCTCACTCATCCGAGGGTTTGTTGTCTCTTTCCTGATACAGAGTATGACCAATATAGTTTCCTTCTGCGTCGTGATAGATATGGGCAGTTTGAGCCTTATTGTTGTTGAATTGCTCCTCGCTTGCGAATAGGACCGTGGCGTGGGGTGTCGTATCGGTGTGACTCGTGTGTGTTGGATTTCTGTCCAATTAAGCAAGCTGTACAACTGGGATTGGTTATATTACGCTGGGTCTACTTACTTTAGTGTAGCATTGGTGAAATGGGCAAGATCGGGTTGCTTGGAGGCTTCTTCAATCAGAGTCAGGGTAAGATTACGCAGGGCAGGGTTGCGGATTCTTTGTGTAAGTTTGACAAGGTGTCTGGGAATAGGAGACATTGTGAAGGTATCACATCTGTATCAAAGCCACATTAGATTCTGTACGAATACTTTTGGAATGTAAGCAAGCTCAAACAAGGAGAAGCTCTGTTTAAGTATTTAATTTGGCCAAAGATGACCTGGGCTGACAATATAGAGTTTACGTTGTATGGAGTAGCTGCCGCTGATTTACATTATGATTAACTAGCCCACCCTCAATTGATTAGTGTTGTGTGATGTGCTGAAATTTTGAGAGTGCATAAGCACCTCAGTCTCCCTCATTTGATTGGCAAGGGTGGTGGGAAGGGAAAAGATACGTGCGCAGGTGCGGTTCTTGGCTGCGAGCATTTGGAATTCGGGGCGCGTAGCCACGTGATTGGCTGATTTCTGTGGTTGCCTAGCCAGATTACCGCACCCCCGGGGCCTCCACCGTCAGCCCAAATGAGATGCCATCATCATTGACACGCGTGAGAATGGTGTCCAACTCTCTCCATCAGACAATAACAAGGAAACTTATCAATTCAAGGAGTGTTGCTTCAATATTGACCGCTTCTAGCCACGCCATTTTCTTTTCAACTCTACCCCGAATGGCACAACCTATCCTATCATGTCCTATTGACGCAGAGCCACTTGACCGCTATAAAAAAGGTGGCTACTATCCAACTACACTAGGTAGCTTCCTGGCGGACGGGAGATATAAGATACTGCATAAACTAGGATGGGGGGGCTACTCAACAGTTTGGGTTGCAAGAGATCAAAGGTAAAATTGAATCATATCTTACCAAACATAACTGATTTAATTCCAGGGAAGAGACTTATGTCGCCGTCAAAATCTGCGTATCTGAGGAAAGAAACGATAGAAATCAGCGAGAGCTCGATGTTCTGAAAAAGCTGACATCGACACACTCCAGCTCTCGACATATTATGCGTATGCTTGATCACTTTGACATAGACAGTCCAAACGGAACGCATCGCTGCCTAGTCCTTGAGCTTCTAGGCCCAAGCGTTCCTGATATGATAGAAGCACGCTTCACGGATGGAAGGCTTCCTGGAAACCTTGCGAAAGTTGTTGCCAAACAGGCTCTATGTGGACTCGATCTTCTACACGAACAGAAAATTGCACATGGAGGTGGGTCCTGAATACATATTCTTCTTTAAAAAGTCCTAACATCAAATAGATCTTCATACTCGTAACTTAGCTTTTGTTATGCCTCCCATGGACAAAATTCCCGAGCATGAATTGATCAAAATATTAGGGAAACCAGAGATCGGGCATGTCAAGAGAAATGATGGTAGGAGTTTAGGGCCTGGTATACCCGAGTATATCGTTAGACCTGCAAGGACATGTTCATGGCCTCTATCACACACGATTAAACTAATTGATTTTGGTGAATCATTTTTGCAGCACAACGTTCCTCAGACTCTTCACACGCCACTGGCAGTCCGGGCACCTGAAGTTATATTCCAGGACCATTTGGATTATCGCATTGACCTCTGGAGCCTGGGATGTATGGTAAGATAGAGCACCAATCTAGCAGGTGCTTTCATATTGACTGACAATTGAGATAGCTGTTCGAACTATTCGTCGGCCAGCCTCCCTTTGATAGCTTGTTCACAACACCCGGGATTCTTGTTGAACAAATGCAAGAGATTACAAATGAAGCGCTACCGGAAAGATGGCTGGATATATGGGCAAAAATGCGTGATGGCGCTGTCACGGAAAGCTCGGGGCCTGGATTACAAGAATGGTTGGAGCAGGTATATTTTGATGGCGAGCAAAAAGAGGACCTGACAAAGGAGGATATTGTCAAGCTGGGACATATTATTCAAAAGTTGCTACGGTTGGAGCCGTCTGCCAGGGCATCGGTGAAGGAAATTGCAAACGACCCTTGGTTCGGAGACTGAAATATAAAGCGCATATAGTATTATGCATATGCTGATGATACAGAAAAACCGATATTTTATTTTAGGCACACGGTAGCATACATAGTCATTGAATGTTGGGGTTGCATTTCACACCACCAATACCGTTAATCCGGAGGGAAGAATCCACTTCATGCCTAGCCCTGGATACAGATTCAATTGCCTCCCTCGTGTTCGCCCATGGACTACTGTCTGTGTCAGGAATAATGGAATTTCCCCTTGAAACAATATGATTACATATAAGTACTAGTATCCGTAGAGGAGGCACCGGGAAGTATAAATATTTTTCTCTAGTATCAAATCTTTTAGAACTATAATAAGGAGTGATAATTTCGAATACAAACGAGTTCTATCTAGAGTTATACAGAGGATCGGTTACCCCTTATATCATCAGTTTCCTGCTCTAACTTCAAGTGAGTGAAGACCATAATACTCGTCAGCTTCCTAGGTAGAGTAGATTTTGGCCTCTCACACTAACCTGACTGACTGAATGTTTACGAGCCTAGGTGGTGAGATTAATTTTTGGAGCCATGGAGAGAACAATCAGTAGGGAAGCTACTATAAATCAGTGGGTATGGTTGGAGTAACAGTGGAAATTTGATTGCTATACCGCGGGCCGGTGGCAGTGAGCCCCATAGCTAATGAAAGGCCATAGGGGCTCTGCCATCTGCCCTACATGCTTCATACATTGAACGAGTACAGAAATCCCAAATAATCCAAAGAAACGAGCGACAAGATTTTTGTGAAACAAGGCATGCAATGGCGAAGACTATTCCCCCACTCACACCAAGGAACCGCGAAGAAGAGACCATGCCATCGAACCTAGGGCGGGTAAAACCAATCACCCCGCTAGGCTTGGGTTCAACGATAGTTGAGCCACTTACTGTTCGCTCAGGAACAGAGAGGAAGCGCCAGCGGAGGTGCAGACGCGACCGGCGCCGCTGCTCTTGCAGTTGATATTGAGGTGACCCTCTCCCCACTGGCCAGGAGAGTACTCGCCGGAGCCCCTGTAGAAAAATCCGATTGATTAGCTTCTTTGTTCCCTAGGGGGTTTGGCACACTGCTAGCTCGAGTTCGTGGTTACTTACTGGTTCTCGTTACTCATACATGACGGCAATGTCAAAGCTGGAGAGACCGGTGTCGACCAGGTTGAACAGGTAATGGCTGTCACCGCAGCGGGTGGCAGCGGCGGCCTGAACGCTGAGCTTAGGGTTCTGGGCGGAGCAGGACAGCAGAAACTTGCGAATATCGATATCTTGCGTTCTAGGTATGTTTGTCAATGCAAGTATATCCCAATCCACGAGGTGGTTGCTTAACCCTGACACTCATACTCCCTCTCCGTCAAGATATGATGGCTTGGTCTGAAGAATGTCCCTGATCGGCTGGAGTGGATCAGGGACTTCGGAGTATCAAGATAGGAAGTAATTGGTCATAGGTAAGCGCTAACTACCACGGTGGCAAGTGGAGCACCACAGCCACCAGTGCCTTCCCACCGTGGGCCAGGGTCTTAGGGTCCTTGCGTCGCTTGCGAAGTGTGAATAATGAACATGGATGGATCGAAGTGGGTCGGTGTCTTACATTCTGACTTCATTCCCGAAGCATCCGAGACCCTGAAAAAGGGTTTTGGCGGGAGATCGGCGAGCTTCTACCCCTGTGCTGAGTTAGAGACTGCAGGATCAACTATCTCTGTCTTTCGTGAGTTATTTTGAGTAGTCTCTTGTATACTAGACCACAGTGCAGCGGGCTGCCTAGAACTAGGTTCAGATTAGAAGAATATATCAGTTACGTCAAGACCTCTAGCGTGCTTTCTCTCGGGCATCCATGCCCATTAGTGACTCAGGAGGGTCCATTCTATCTATCCTGCATGAGATAAGTCTTCCAAGGTACTTGGTACGATCCATAGTATCAGCTACTCCTCAATAAAGCAGGTCAGTGTCAAGACAACTATACTTGCAAGATACCAAGACAAGGACCTTTAGAGCATGACCGAGAAATTTTTTCTCGGGCCCATAAACGATGCTGCCTAATTACTCAGTGACCTTTCCCCCTCCAGGGCCTTAGACCGAGCCCACGCCTGCCCGTTGCCACCAAAGTCCACACCAGGATCAAATTTCGTAGATGCCAAACGGAGAACAGCGCTGGTAGCCATTTCCTACCTTCCAGTGCCGACGCCGTTGATGGCGTAGAAGCATGTCGCCAGGCTGTCCGCCGCCGTATAGCCATTGGTGCGGGACTTATCAAGCTTCACTACCTGTCGCAGAAGAATCATGCAATGTCCTGCTGCTCAGCAACATCCGTACCGCCGACGATTGTGGGAGAGGCAGGGTTGGCACCATGTTCAGTGTCGGGTACACTGCAGCACCTTTGAAGGTGCATTGGCTGCTATCGATGCGGGAATCAAGATGGTTGAGCTTGCGTATTGTTCCACGAGTAGTATATTTCGACGTATCTCTGGAAGAATTTTATGCTGTTCCCGAGACCTGCCATCGTGGAAAGATTGCATGTCCGGCGATTTGAGCAGATTTCGAGTCGGGTTTAACGAGCGCATCAGCCGGAAGTGAGGTTCGCCTGTGGTACATATATGGGTACATACTCTCAGGGTAAAGAGGTAACAATATTCGGGAGCTGGGACTTGGTGTTAAAATGGGTATCCATGCTGTCGATGCCTCTGGGGCATGCACTGTTGGTGACTTGGAGGCCAGTGGGATAGTTTAGCAAGATACATACATGGAGTTAAAGTTACTTCCTCCTGTAGGACAGGCCTACCTGCGCCGAATTTTGGGGCCTAGCACTCATACACACATTCCACTAGGGCACAAAGTCTATAACGTATTCAACTTTCTTCACGAATTTTGGCTGTACCTGCAGACGGGAACGAATGGTATAATCCAAGAACCCCTCTGGTTATTTTCCAACCTATGTCTCTACCATGGTCGCATCGATTATGTCAGACAGTCTGGCAGGACTCCTTGCATAGTGAGATGATGAGTCTGAATATTGGCAGCACTGTTCTCACTATCATGCAGTTATAGGACATGCAGTCAATCAGTGACTGTGATGGCAGTCAGCGAATCGATAACTCATCTCTGCCGTTCTGTCATTCGTTCCAAGGGTATTGAGTATGTAGAGACTGCATCCAGATTCCTCTTTCTGTGGAGGTTCGTGGATGTTGGGTCTAGAGGTTACTCCTTGGGACATTCTTGCAACGGCGTGGAATAGACTTCTGGAACTCATTGGTCAAGGTCCTTTTAAATTTGGGTGAGCATGCCGTGTTATTCCGTTGAGGAATAAGGCAGCTCCAACTGTAATTCGTGTTGTATCATTATATCAGGTTAACTGAGGCTTTTGGTGTGGGCACAATATATATATATCGGAGACATACCTATAATGTCGGGATACCATGTATTGCCTAGGAACCATCATCGTCACCATGAACCATATTAAGATACTCACCACAGGTGCCACATCTTTGCCATCAATGCGTAGTGGATACGACACCCGAATTGCGAATCCCTTGAGGTTGTAAATGGCCTTCTGGTGGAATCCCCTGGTCATCCAGCATAGCACGTATACTTTGGTTTAATACTCTTTCTAATTAACACAATCTCACCGAACTAGCCCGGCTAGCTCAATCGGTAGAGCGTGAGACTCTTAATCTCAAGGCTGCGGGTTCGAGCCCCGCGTTGGGCTTCTCTTTTTTTAGCCTCGGACTACACTCTGTTTCAGCGAGACAAAAAAAACAAAAAAAAAAAAAACAAAAAGAAAGGCATTGCTCGCTAAACAATACTTGGCAAACAGGGGCGAAATTAGATGTCTGTTAAAGAATTTCCTGAAAGAAAGCCATGCGTCTTGATCAATTCCAAATATTGCTGTGCTCAACAATGTACATCTAAATGAATCGCATTCCTTGATTACGTACTCTGCATGTATTGTAAAGTTGTGTCAAGTGATTTTGAAGAAAATGAACATGGCACGTCCAAATTGTCTATATAATGAGCCCTTACGTAGTGGAAGTGGCAGCACTGCGGGCCATTTTCTGGATTTGCGCGCTGTACCACCGCTGAGGAGCATTTGTTAGCTATTGCATTCAAGATTGGGTAGATTTTACTCACACTTTCTGCACCCGACCCGGCAGACTTGATACCAGTCAGTTTGATGATTCGGGAAGGTGATATTGGCTGTGTGGCTAGCCGCGCGCGCTCTTCCGGCACATCTGGATTCAGGAGGATGTCATTCGGCAGAGTTGGGTTGAGAACCGCCGGACGTCCAATGCCAATCATGTCACAATCGCCATCTGCCAGAGCCTTTTCCATGCCCTGACGGGTACGGAAGCCACCGGTTACCATCAAAGGAGTCCCTGGGAATTCCGCACGGATGGCTCTCGCAAACTCGAGGAAGAATGCCTCCCGAGCCACTGTCCGAGCGGACTTCTCCGGCACGGGGTGCGGCGTGGCGCCCATCATCTTTATACAGGATCAGTTGGTGCGATACCATCATAGGGTATCCGCGACGCCTACCTTGGGATCTTCGTATGTCCCACCACTGATTTCCACAAAGTCCACCCCGGCCTCGACAATCAGCCTGAGCTGCTCGATGCAGGATTTCAGTTCGCTTTCGGATTGATGGTCGACCGAGTTCAGTTTAATGCCCACACAGAACGTGGCTGGAACAGCTGCGCGGATGGCCTGGATGATATCGACGATCATCTTCACACGCCCAGCTGACGAGTTTCCGTACCGATCGGTCCGCCGGTTGGTCTTCGCGGACAGGAATTGGGCCAACAGGTACCCATGTGCCGCGTGTAATTGGATGCCCTGGAAGCCTGCCTGATGAGCGAGTTGAGCAGTGTAGACAAACTGCTGGATCACATGGTTAATATCCTCCTGAGTCATCTCCCTCGGGGTCCCGAAAACAACGGAGCTCGTAAGCCTGGCCATCCACCCGGACCCCAGATCCAGCGGTATGGCACTGGGGGACACATTCTTGGCAAACATACACCGCGCCCCAGCACCCAAGGGAGATTGCCTTCCCGGGTGACTGATTTGCATGACAGTTGGCGTGCCGTGGCTGGTGGATGCGGCCGCCCACGATTTCCATCTGCGAAGGAGCTCTGCTTCGATGGCTGGGTTGACGGTGTTGTCTCCTGCGCCACCGAGGTACATCCGGTCGACTTGGACATTGCCTGTGGAGGGTGTCAGTAGAGGATTCAATCGTAAGGTCTTGCGCGGCCGTTACCTGTCAGCAGCATACCCCAACCACCCCGGCCCCATTCGGCATAAGCACGATCATGAAGCTCTGTGGGCAGGCTGTTGCCATCCGCCATGTGTTCGGCCATTGCGGCCTTGACCAGACGGTTCTCGAGCTGCAACCCGCAGTTGAGGGTTAATTTCTGGGACACTACCGATGCCATGGTGGTCGATGAAGCCGATGAGAAGAACAAAATAACTGTGGAAGATTCGAAATACTGAAATGCAACGTCAACTGTCGGCCTTTATATATGACAGCCCTAACGCCCGAGAATGGACGCTACAAGTCGGCCTTCGCATGGCGGGATGCATGCGGTACTCCCGAGATCCGGATAGCATGTGCCTCTGTTCGGTTGACAAGCAACCCATGTCCAGAAGGTAAAATGAGGATCGAAATCTTTCGACAAACTTCGAAGGCTTTCGGTTCCAAGCGAAGGAAGGGCATGGGGTAGCAGGAAAAGGCGTCCGGCGGAAGTCGATCGAGAGCCGAGGCGCAGCCATTCCCATTAAAGTTGGTCGAGAGCCGACCGCCGAAGTTCCTCCCCCGCCCCTTCATCCTTCGGGCTTCGGATTCCATCCTTGCCTGGGCATGTCCATCATGGCCGCCAGACTGGAGCCTCGACTTGCACGATCCCGTGATCGTTGCAAAGCAAAGAAGACCCGCTGTCTTCGTGGGTGCCTCCGTTGGACGGTAACACTAGTCACCAAGTGCGAAGGGCGATTGCTGACCAGGTGGCGACTTTGGCAACAGGCCCCTTGAACAGTGTGACCTGCACGCCTTGCCTCGTACGAGAGCCGACCCGCAGTTGAGACCACTGGGGATATCTTCTAGAGCTGGCACGTGCTGAACGTTGTACAAAACCGCAACATCGAATGTCATTACACTCTCACGCGGAGACGGTTGAAGCCCAAAGCAACGCAAGCCTCCACCGATCCATGTACTACCTACCCACCACCCATCCCGGGCGACAAGTCGGTGACATCTTCTCAGTAGAAATCAGCCCTTGCTTTCTTCGTCACTCATCCATCCGTTTTTCTAAATTCAGTCTCAGGAGACCTCAGAACAATACATTGGTGGCGAGTTCGGTTTTGGCTACGGCTTTGCATGTTGAACTGCTAACGCTCCGGTCACTATCCAGCCTACTTTGAACACGTACATCCGCTATACCCCTTCTTGGATCGCAATGACTTCAAAAACCATGCATTCGATAACGAGCTGGCGGATCATTTGACAAGCAATGCCCCTTTCTCAGCACTTTACCCCACAGTCTTGGCGCTTGACTGCCTATATGTCCAAGGCGGATCATTCGATACGGGAAAGGGCAAGGCCTGGAGAATCTTTCAACATGCGCTAGGTCTCTTCCCAGAGATCCTGCTGCCCCCGGAGGCCTTGCTCGATGTTCAAGTGAGTCGTGCTACACCACTTATCAAAACCCTACTGACGTATCTTTTACAACAGGCCTTGGCGGCAATGGCCCGTAGCCCCCAGGAGTGCTTTTTGGGGGGAACATTTAGTCTAATCGTAGAACTAGGGAATATTCGCCATGAACTTCTCCTGCATTCAAATCAGCAGAATTCTGATCACCGAGGCGGCGAGAATGGTCCAGTGTCTGGGCTACAGTGCTGCGTATCCCCCCGCTGAAGCGACACGGCATGCCATAGGTTATTCTGGGTCATTTACTGACAGGAAAGGGTCGAATGCTTTTTCTGCAGCCGTGCTCCAGTAAGTCTCGCCCAAGCTACCATTGCCCCCAGAGCAACCCGGAGTGATGATGCCGTGGACAGACGGTCGGAGCAGGCAATCTCCTGGACAGAACCGTCGGGTGAATTGTTGCCGGGACAAACACCTCTCCAGGTAAAGGATCTTATCGAACCAATTCAGGCATCGGCTGACTGCCACCTATAGAATTCGATGGATGTTCTGCATAGTGGTATTAATGCGACAAGCATGGGATTCGACGAATTATTCTATCCCAGCGATCCTCGTCAGCCGACAATGGGGACATTGAACCCACCGGCGAGTGAGCTTTCGGCGTTGGTTGATTTCTCGTTCTGGAGTTGAACGGTTTTGGCGAGTGGCCAGGGTCAATTCTGGGCAGAAGCAGAACTTCTGAGCACAAGCTTCTCATATTGCAATTAGATTATTGGGAGCTTTTGAGCAGGGGGTGGTAAGTCGCTATTGATAGCAATCAAGGGATATCGATACAATCTAGAATTCTGACCGCCTTTATATTATATGCTTCTCTCGCCAGCCAGCCGAAACATGAGGTTAAAATAGGAGTCTAGTGCTCGCAGAAGAAGAATTTGTCCTAGGACATCGTCAGTGCTCTAGATTTCGAAGGAAAGGGGGGCTTAAAATGGAAATCAACGTACATCTTCCATATCGTCGTTGATTTGCTCGACTAGTGCTCCTCGTTCATCCATGAGGTCCTGCCTGGCCTTCACTGCATCCTCCCAGCTGAGAGGGAAGCCCGTCACATGTAGCATGATCATGTTGAAAATCTCCCTGGGCAAGCGGTTGAACGGAGGTACGTTGCGTACTTCATCTGCCCACCAATCTTTGCGCTGGGGTGGCACATTGGCCGTCGACAAGACCGGAATATGCGGATCCACCAAAAACATGGCTAAGATCTTTCGATGGCCAGGCCGCGTGGGGTCGACAAGTTGGAATGGCTGAACTTGGTGTTGAAGGGTATTGGGGAAGGCAAGGAGACGGCCTGGCCTGGTGAGGACACTACCGAGATTTTGGATTGCAGAACCATAGTTTTCAATACCAAGAAACAGCTCCATAGCATCGTATTCGTACTGGTGAAGATGCTCTTAGTACTATATCTCCACGCCGACTGTAAAGGTGTAGGGAGTGGTTTGGGGAAGGGGGGGGGGGATACCTGTCCAACACTCATCGAAATTTCGTCGTTATCCAACGACTGACGGAAGGCGAGATGACTAGGAGTGATATTGTGTTCGTCGTAGTAATAGAGCGCCGTGGCAACAATGTGCTCGTTCATTGCTCCTTCAATATGCCAGGACCCCCCATCGTACTGCGGTTGTTCAGGGGTCAGGTGGATGTTGGCAAGTTTGAAGATGACCTGCAGCCCGGACTCGGCAAACTGCTTCTGCAAGTCGACGCGTCGGTGGTCCGCTCGCTCCTCCCATTGTTGACGGGAGCAAAAAGGGCCTGGTTCTGTTGGTATGACAATGCGATTGGCTCTACACCACTCCCAGTAATTCTCATCTCGAATGAAGTCGATTTCCTTGGCTTCCTCCCATGTATAAGGTCGGATTTCCGTATCCGAATACACGTCGTCCTCGGCAGGAGTAAAGGTCACTCCATCAGGTGTTGTGAGGGCTTCATTCCCCAGTCCCGGAACCTCAATCCTCAACCGGGATTCTGACCAGGTGAGACACTCGTTCCAGAGAGGGATAGCAGCAGCGACGAAGCGTTCCAGGGTCCCATAAAGTGGCCGGTGCACTTTCGGGTGTAGATTGTTGATGTAGCTGACGATTCTGGGTTGGCCGCCTTGATCTAGTGAGATGTTGGAGGGGAGCCACTGAAAGCTCCCCCATTCTGGGAGAGTCCCCAAGGTCTCTCGGGTGCCATCTAATTCGGGGTCGACTATCGCGCCCTCGCCACTGAAGCGAGCGCAATCATCAAGCGGCACCGTCCCATGTGGCAACGCGCGGGATTTGCCATAAATTAGGGGGAAGAGCGAGGGATGTAGGAGATCCAGGACTTGCTGATTAGATCCGGGATGCCAATCCTTCCACTGGTCGGGCACATCCTCCAGAGCCTGGACGTTCTGTCGTAGCGAGCTAGCGAGAGTCGGGGTCACTACCGTGTCGGATTTGACAATGGCTCTGTCGCTGTCCCAGACGGAAACCATGTGAGACGCCTGGAAATACGTGGCTTTGTCGCGCAACTCTTGAACACACTAGCATCGGTTAGATCCGAAATGCCCACGAGGGGGAAGTTGAAAGGGGACCCACGTAGTCAAACATGGCCGCCGACAGATAGTCCTCCCGCAGCTCGGCCCGCCAGACACAGGCCTCACTCCTCCATTTACTCACGATTTCCTCGTCGAAGACCTTCCGATCCCACTCGGGCTTATCGGTGATTTGATTGATCAGTTCCAACATTCGACGCTCGCGAAGCGAGATGCCCACACCATTGCAGGTGTCGCATATAGCATGAGGAAACCGTCGCCGTTTACCTTCGGAGTCGATGAGCGGCAGGTTAGTCTTGAGGGGCTGACCGAAGCCAGGAAGACTCGTCCGGGGCAGGTCCATGGTGATAATCGGAAGAATGAGGATGCTTCGTGGGTCGAGGCGATGGGGAAGGGGGGAGTCCCTTCTTAAACTTCAGGCTTCCAGGCAGCCGAGTGGGTGCCTGGGTGGAGGCCTGATGGATGGGGTGTCGCGGGTCTTGGCAGCGGACTTCCAGGAATTCCTGGCTGTGAGAGTGGTTGATGTCAGAGAGAACACTGCTACACCATTCAATTTGCGTAGAATGGCTGGTCAATGGCATGCAGCAGCTCGATAATTAGGGAGTAGGCCGACTCCCTACCGCTTTCTGGCATTGCTGCCTGAGGCCTATGAGAGAGACTGGCCGTATCCTCACCGATTGAATGCTTGGTAAGATTCCTGCGAATGTCTTGAACCATCGGTCTTCGGAGAACCTATCTAGCAAGAGGCCTGTCCAACTTCGAGATACATCTTGGTTCGGGTGCCAACCGGCTGTTGCTCTCCCCATATCCCACTAGGGAGGTTTTGACCCTGAACGAGCGAGATCAATAGCCCCGGGCTTGATCAACCTGATTGATAAGCCCCTTCCCTTGCGCCCGTCTCTCCAGGTTACACGTCAATATCTTCAGGGCACGCTCGTTATAGTGGGTGGAGTTCCCACTACAATGCGGCGTGATGATAACATTCTTATATCCCCACAGCGGATGATCCGCCGGCAATGGTTCCGGATCAGTGACATCCAGCGCCGCCCCCCGAATATGACCCGCATCAAGAGCAGCCACCAGGTCGACCGTGTTGATTACCGCTCCCCGTGCAATATTACTCACGTATGTCTTCTTCTTACTGAGCAGCGCGAACTGCTCCCGCGAGATGATGCCTCGCGTCTGTCGAGTCAGCGGCACCGTGATTACCAGCAAGTCCAGATCCGAACTCAGGAACTCGTTCAGTTGATCCCTCCCCCAGAACCATTTCGACGGGAATTCGCCGTCAGTATCACCCAGGCCCGGCTCGCTGAACGCATCAGCCTTTCGAGATTCGGGCGTTGCTCGGGGGCGCATTGTGAAGGCGTAGACGTCCATGCCAAATGCTTTGGCCACTCGCGCGCATTGACGGCCGATGTTACCATAGCCCATTATCCCACTACCATGATTGATTAGCTGAGGAAGTATGAACGGGAGTGGAATTGTGGGGGGCAGACATACACCCTCAAACCAACGGCATCCTCGGTGTCTTCATCGGATACGGGGTCCACCCATTTGCCTTCTTTCTGGTAATCGAGATACTGTGGGACTACAGTGCCTTAGTGGACTCTATCGTTCCTCTTCGTGAGGCTCACATACGGTGGTGCTGGAAAGCCAGGAAGGTCATGAAGACCCATTCTGTAATTTGAGGTCTGGCTTGTTAGCCACGCCTGTTCCCGCCAACCTAAGAAATCTTCGCCAAAGTCCAGTCGAGCACTTACGGATGAACCCCGTTGGCCGTACATAAGGCGACTTCGGTCTCTTTGAACAGCGGTAGCCCGCTCGTGTGATTGCAGCCGGCACTCAAGAGCTGGACGTACTGCAGGTTCGGAGCCAGCTCTTTCGTCGGAAAAAGTCTCCAGGTAAAAAGTACCGTAACGTCTTTCCATGTTTCTGGGGCAATCTCGTCAGGCAGCTCGGTGGCATTCCTGTCAATCTCATGGATCTCGATGCGGATGTTAGGAATGGAGATCTTCAGATCGGAAACCCACTCGGCGGGCGGGGTCCAGGGCATGAGAATCAAGAGGAGTTCCGAGGACACCATGGTGGAGGGAAGTTGATTCAGGGTGGCTTGTACTCAAAGGCTTCGATGGTTCCCAGTGCAGAGCTTGTACTTGTCGGAATTCATATAGGAAGTTCCAATGAGGGAGGAGCTCCTTGCTTTCAGTTGGACGATAAGGTGTTATCGGTTATCGGTGGTTACTTGCCAGGGAGGGACATGATTTGAGAGCCTCAGGCAGGCTTTCGGCCCCCAGAGCCAATCATCGAACCGCACTGGTGCTACAGCAGTGACGGCGAGGGCGCTCTTCACTCATTCTACCAGATATGCGACACCGCTCATGTCTTATCCGGCCGCCAGCCCAGGATAAGAGATGCAATTAATCATACCATATCATGTGCTCCAAATTGAGTCGATAAACGCCCGGTGAAGATGGTAATTCCACCATCCGCGTACTTGGTTCTTGATGTTGATGGTTAATAGGAATCAAGTGTGACCCATTGGACATGCTGGGTTCTTCATTTCAGTTACAGCTTTTGGTTTTCTTTCTTTCTTTCTTTTCTTTTCTTTTCTTTTTTTTTTTTTTCGTGAGACGCATAGACTCATATAATGAAAGGCAGGCTTCCGACACGATAGATAAGTGGGATTTTTGATACTTACATATAAGTACCTCCTGTCGGCGAATAGTATTTCCACCGTTCACACGCCGCCTCTGTCTGTCGATAAACTGTCACCACCTTCCCTCACTCATATGGCCCGACAGACCATGGTTCCAGGCTAGAACCACGCTCTTCAGCTCTTTGGGTTGGGGGTTCATTCCTGAAGAGCCGATCCGATCGTGCGATCGACCGAAAACGTGGTGCGCAGCCCAAGAATCTACCAGGGATGAAGCTATGGGATACTATGGTACGGAGTAAGCTCCGCACCTTATCCATACTAACTTAGTTCGAGAGACAAAGTCGTTGATTTTCTGTCCATCGCTCCGTGGCTGGTCCCTTATCAGTGCTCAGGGGCGACTGCGGACCCCCTCCGCCAGGAAAGAAGCCCGGCCCGACTCCGTGGACAAGAGGCCTCCTGTACCGGAATGCCCCGGAAAGGGTTCATACTCGTTGGGCTATCACTCACTATCTAGATGATATCGCGGTGAGAACCACGCCACTCCTGGCCACTGTGAAAAAAAAAAAAAATTGTTAAAAAAAAGATATTTATAGACAGGGTAGACCCTTAGAAACCATCCGAAGCCACCACACATGGTAGCGAATGATCGTGCACGTCGTGGCCTGGACGGCGGGGGCCGAAAATAGCTCCAAAGTTACCTGGGCTGATGCAGGCGGACACTGGATGGGTAAGGTTCCGACCTGTTCCCTCACTGCGGACTCTACATAGATAGATACGGGAGTCCGGTGTGAGCTATTCGGACATAGCAGCGCCAGCAAGGACGAAGGCTGCTCCATTTCGGAGCTAGGGATTAGCTTCATCCTGCTAAGGCCGGGATCCATCCATGCCCCATGGATCGGACCCTGACTGTTGTGACTTGTACCTGCACTGATGAACGTTGCTGTGGACGGAATACTCCGTACTACCCAGGACTATCTGCCACTAGTACCTCCGTGGTAATGCTAGTAATACGCCGTAGGTACGGAGTACTTACTGTTCGTCCCACGATCATGACGAAACGAAGGTGGCCGCTGGATCATTTGGAGCGATCATTGGGTCGTTTGTGGGATTGGGACCCGCGCTAAACCTGGATCGACTAGTCAGGGTCTTACCACGGGCAGGCTGCCCAATGGGCGGGCCCCTGGCTGGCACCGGGCATTGGCGGGGTTACCCATGGATGGTCTGGCCCGGCTGATTGCCCCTAGCGACGCCCACCGGGGCGGCGGGCAGTTATTTGTGTACGTTCATCATTCATTCATATCCTTCCTACTACTACCTATTACTCCGTAGTTCCTGCACTTCCTTGACTCCGGCCCATCATCATCTTCGCCTCCCGCCTAGCTTGCCAGCAGTTGGAGTGCGATCGTAAATACCTCAGTGACAGCGGCGATTTGGTGTTACATACCGATCTGACTCGCGCCCAAAAGGGGTTTGGCATTCCTGGGCCAGAGATTGGGATTTGACTGCCTGGGGCTTGGCACGATAAGGTACCCCGTGATATCCCCCATCTCCTAAATCAGCTGCCCAGCTGGCTTCCCCTGGTCCCTTTCGCAAGTCCGTCCACTGTCCAGTGCCCACGGCTCGCTGAGAGTCCCCGGGTGTTGTGCTTGTGCCAAAACACCGCGGAAGAATTGGTCGGGTTTCAGACTAATAAAGTTAAGGTGGGATCATTGGACGCTATACCCAGGCGGGCTGCTGTCCCGCCGGCCCCGGCCAGTTTCTCCTCCGCACTATCACCTCCGGGCACGCTGGACTTGATCCCCTTTCTGCTTTCCCATCTCCCATCCATCATCCGTCGCGCTTATTTAGAGCACCCAGTCCCCTTCTTGGCAGGAGCCCCAGCGACTAGAACTCGCTGTCTCGCTCGTTTACCTTCCTGGGATTTCCCTGCTTGCATTCGTTTGCTATCTGCAGTGCGATACCCGGAGGCTTTTTCCAGCAGCTGACCATTCAGCGGCGCGCGATCGTTCCGAAGTCACCAATCTGCATCGGTTCCACATCTCACATTATTTGCAAGTCGCTCGCATCCCTTCTGGCAGTATCTATACGTCCGGTGTTGGGCTCCCGCACTGCGCACGACCAGATCACCCACTAGTCGCTTTGCCTATGCTCTAGGAAAGGTGAGTCGATCCTATCCTCGCGGAGGGAAGGTACTTGCTACTGCCTCATCGGCCCCGGCGTCATCGGTTTCGTTCCCCGTACTCTGACAAGGCACCGATTCCTCGCGCAAGGGAGCTTGAAGCTAACCGGGGCTCTACTCATCTAGCAGGGTCATGTCGCTGCCTCAGCGTCCGGGGAAAGCCTCCCCGCGACGCGAAGAAACGTACTCCTCCTTCCGCGAGTCCTCCCGACGACGGCATCGCACCCATGAAAGCGGACATCAGAATGATCCTTTGTCCGGTTCCCCCTCGGGGCACCGCCACCATCGACATCACCGCTCGCGCAGCTCCCGAAGACGCGGCGATGTGGACGAAGAAAGAGGAGAGTTGGGCGCGGAGACCAGGCACAAGAAGACTCTGTCCAAACCGGAACGTAATCGGGTCGACCCGAACCATCCACACTACCATTATCGCCAAAAGTCACGGAATATGCCCACTCATCCGTCGACGACTGGGGATGAGCCCTTGATGGGAACCGGTGGGGAGGGGGAGACAAATAGCTCCCGGAGTACGGAATCCAAGGCGAAAGATGGGGTATATGTCACGCAAGGCAATGTCAATCAGCCCATGGAACGACTTCCGAACCGACGTCGCATCAAGAAGAGGCGATCATCGCGCAAGATCACCCGAAGGGCTGCAGCAGCGGAAAAGAAACGGCAACAAGCGTTGGAACAGGTTCGGCCACCCAGTCCTTGGACCACGTACTGCGCCATCATTACGTTCTGGGCCCCGGACTTTGTTCTAAAGTGTTTTGGCATGCCGCAAAAGGCCCAGCGGAGCGCCTGGCGCGAGAAGATCGGCTTGATCAGTCAGATCCTGCTCGTCGGGGCCTTCGTTGGCTTCCTCACCTTCGGCTTTACAGCGACAGTATGCGGAACCCCTCCGACGCGGTTGAGGATCAACGAGGTCAGTAGCAACTACATGATCTTCCACGGCAAGGCCTACGACCTGTCCCACTCCACGCACCCGGCCGCTGCTGGGATTCCCGCCGGGTCCAACGTTCTCTATGACCTTCCCCACAAATACGGAGGCCAGGACGGAAGCTTTTTCTTTCAGGAAGTCAACGGAGCCTGCAAGAATCTGATCACGCTCGCCGACGGATCCGATGTGCCCACCAACTCTGCCGGCGACCTTGCCTGGTATTTCCCTTGTAATGCCTTCAACCAAGACGGGTCGTCCAAGCCCAACTACACCGACCCCTATTATCTGGGGTGGGCCTGCCACACCTCGGGGACAGCTCGAAAAGCCTTCTACGACCTGAAGAGCTCCGGGGATGTGTATTTCACGTGGGACGATACCAAAAACACGAGTCGCAATCTGGCCGTGTACGACGGAGACGTCCTGGATCTTGATCTCCTGTTATGGTTCAATACCTCCCAGGTGAGCTACCCGGCCAAGTTCGATGAGCTCCGCGAGAACCCCAAGGTGCGCGGGGTCGACCTCACGTACTACCTGCAGACAGGCCAGGAGAAGAAGGTCGGCCAGTGTTTATCGCAGATAATCAAGGTTGGCAGTATCGACACCGATACCGTGGGGTGCATTGCATCCAAGGTGGTTCTTTATGTGTCGTTGATCTTCATCCTGTCGATTGTCGTGGTCAAGTTCGCGTTCGCCCTGCTCTTCCAGTGGTTCATCGCCGCTCGGTACGCGGCTCCGAGGACCAGTATGGGCACGGATTCCAAGACGCGCAATCAGCAGATCGAGGATTGGTCCAACGATATTTATCGGCCCGGTCCCCGCATGACGGATCACAATATGAGCGAACGGGGTAAACGGGCGAGTTTTCTTCCCACCACGTCGCGCTTCTCGAGCCCGTACACCGTGAGCAACGGAGGGAAGCAGAAATACCAGTACGTGACGATGGCAAGCCAGAATTCCACGACTCGGCTGGTGCCCGGTGCCACCAACTCGCTCTACAGGCAAAGCCATAACAGCAGCGGTGGCAGTCTGGGGCTCGAGGGCTCCCGCCATAATGGATCGGCCAGTCGATCCAGCTTAGCCCTGGGACAGGATTCGCGCTACTCGACCGGCATGCTGGAATCGGAAGTTCCCGGCATGGGCGGATATGTTCACGAGGGGGTTATTCCGCAGCCACCTCCAGAGTGGCAGCCGTACGGGTTCCCTCTGGCGCACTCGCTCTGCCTGGTGACATGTTATTCGGAAGGCGAAGAGGGTATCCGTACCACGTTGGACTCGATCGCCATGACCGACTATCCGAACAGCCATAAAACCATTCTAGTGATCTGTGATGGAATGATCAAAGGCAAAGGCGAGCAATTCTCCACGCCGGAGATCGTCCTCGGCATGATGCGGGACCCCATTATCCCAAAGGATGAGGTGCAGCCGTTTTCATATGTGGCGGTTGCCACCGGATCCAAGCGCCACAACATGGCGAAGGTGTATGCCGGCTTTTACGACTATGGGGTGGACTCGATCATTCCGGAGGAAAAGCAGCAACGCGTCCCCATGATGATCATCGTCAAGTGCGGCACTCCGGCGGAGGAGAACAAGTCGAAGCCGGGCAACCGGGGCAAGCGAGACAGTCAGATCATTCTGATGTCGTTCCTGCAGAAGGTCATGTTCGATGAGCGGATGACGGAACTCGAGTTTGAGATGTTTAATGGGCTGTGGCAGGTGACAGGCATCGCGCCGGATTTCTACGAAGTCATCCTGATGGTGGACGCGGACACCAAGGTATTCCCGGACAGCCTGACGCATATGATTTCCGCGATGGTCAAGGATCCGGAAGTCATGGGGCTGTGCGGGGAAACGAAGATTGCCAACAAGACGGACAGCTGGGTGACGATGATCCAGGTATTTGAGTGAGTGTCGCCTTCCCTTCCCCCAGTGTCGCTGCACTAACATCTGCGGCCCAGATATTTTGTCTCGCACCATCAAGCCAAGGCGTTCGAGTCGGTGTTTGGAGGTGTGACGTGTCTGCCCGGGTGCTTCTCGATGTACCGGATCAAGGCACCGAAGGGGGGCCAGAACTACTGGGTCCCGATCCTGGCGAGCCCGGATGTCGTGGAACATTACTCGGAGAACGTGGTGGACACGTTGCATAAGAAGAACCTGCTTTTGCTGGGGGAGGATCGGTATCTGTCGACGCTGATGCTGCGGACCTTTCCGAAACGGAAACAGATTTTCGTCCCGCAGGCCGTGTGCAAGACGCAGGTGCCGGACAAGTTCAAGGTGTTGCTGTCGCAACGCCGGCGCTGGATCAACAGTACCGTGCACAATCTGATGGAGCTGGTCCTGGTCCGGGATCTGTGTGGGACGTTCTGCTTCAGCATGCAGTTTGTCATCTTCATTGAGCTCATCGGGACGCTGGTTCTACCGGCGGCGATCGCGTTTACATTCTACGTGGTGATCAACTCAATTGTGCACCGGCCAGTGCAGGTGATTCCGCTAGTGCTGCTGGCGCTGATCCTGGGGCTGCCGGGGGTGCTGATTGTGGTGACGGCACACAAGATGGTGTACGTGCTGTGGATGTTTATCTACCTGCTGTCGCTGCCCGTGTGGAACTTTGTGCTGCCGACGTACTCGTACTGGAAATTCGACGACTTCAGCTGGGGCGACACGCGGCAAACGTCCGAGGGGAAGGACAAGGGACACGAGGCCGGGGAGGGCGAGTTCGACAGCAGCAAGATCACGATGAAGCGGTGGCGGGACTTCGAGAAAGGTACGTGCATGCCTGCGTGGGAGCGGCCCAACGACGGGGGACTAACCGGGAGTAGATCGCCGACTGCGGATGCAGATGCCGGGCTGGGGCCAGACATCGGGGGCCTATCCGACCTACCATGACCCATATGGGGGGCATTGAGGGGGCGTGTGATGAGGGAGCGATTTAATGAGGAAGCGGGGTTTTGTACAGTTCGAATTGATGTGATGAGTTACGATGGCGTGTATTATTGTGGAATTCCTCCTCCTTCTTCTTCTTCTTCTTCGGTCTATATGGGATATCTTACCGGGTTTTCCGCGTTTTACCCGAGGGGGCTTGTAACTTTGACTTTTGAGTTTCGCTTTGCTTTTGGATGGGTGGATTTGAGCGAGCGAGCGCGAGCGATTGATTGATTGAGCAGCGATTTATGACCATATCTTGCACGAGTAACGGACGACCTGTTTCATGATGATGGGTGAGGCTGACGGGATGGTTCGAGATGCAGGCGATCTGCCGGGGAACCCTGGTCGCCCGAAGGGATTGATTCATGGATTGTGCAGATGGACTTGTAAGCCACCGGCCATCGATCGATACGAGCACGAAATCGACAGCAGCGGCAGCAGAGGATGAGAGGGGAGGGTCTGACTAATCGGGCTGGACCAATGGCCGGTGTCCCTGGATGGGATCCCTGGACCATCAGGCGCCCCTCCATGGCCCCGTGGACCCCATGTGACAGCCCCGATCCTGCTGCCTCTTCCGCCTCTTCGCTTTTCCCTTCTCTCTCTTCCTGTGTTTCCTGCTGCTGCTGCTTCTCCTTCTCCTCCTTCCTTTCTGCTGCTGCTGCAGCTGCATTCCGCCCGACGGGGTATTTAACACCCCCGCCACGCCATCCTTTCTTCTTCTTTCCCTCTCTGCCGTCTTCGACTCTTCCGGCTCCCTCAAACTCCATCTCGAGTGACCCCCGGTATTCGGTGGTTCGGTGCAACCCCGCCCCTCCATCTCGGGATTGCGACTCCCCCCCTGCTGGCTGCTGGCCGTGCCACCTCGGTGTGGGGAGGCAGCCAACCTGCTGCGGGGTGACCTTCGCCTGCAGAGCCAAGATCCCAGTCCAACAACGTGGACGTCTCACCTTATCTCTCCATGCCCGCCATCTTGGCCTCGGATTTCCCTTCCTCGTCCTCGTCTTCCGCCTCCACCGCCATCCCGCCCGGTGGCCCGTCAGCATGCAACATCCCCCGATCCTCACCCTCTCGACTGCCAGACAACCTCACCTCTCCAATTACCACCTCGTCTAGCCGGAATTCGATGTCATCCTTCCAAGACCACTCGGCGCCCGTCAGCGCGGACGCGCCCGAGTCTACCTTCCCCGACGGGACGGACGATCGGAGCCCCAGCGATTCCGCGGTCTCCGCCTTCATGGCCGGCCCCCAGTATACCAACGTCTTTGACTTTCGCGATGCGTCATACTCTGTCCGGTCCGAGGCGGTGAACGTGGTGATGGAGCGCAACGATATAGGATTTCACGAGATCGGGCCCCAACCGTCGTCGCCCCCGACGGAGTGGTACATCTCCGACTCGGAGATGACGGATGCACTGTCGGAGATGGGTGGCGTGCCTCTGGGGCCCTACATCGGCGAACACGTCGGCATGGTCCATCTCCTCCACCAGGCGCTAGACACCCCCGTGTCCGCGCGCCCAACCTCGTCCATCATCTCCAGCGACACAGAGGACGGCGACGCGACTGATCTGATGATGGAATACGAGCCCTCAGTTGTGGATAACCTGTCCACGTCGCGGTCGATCCTAGAAGACGACCCGGACGACACGCAGAAATTCTACTCGGACGATGGGGATGACTACGACGACGATCGGGCCAGCGACATGCGCACCCGCCACGGCACAGCTGACTTGTCCGAGGTGGACGTCGACGAGTTTTACCAAGGCCTCGACCCGACACCAGGATCCCAACTGTCGGACCTGGGGACGGGCGCCATGCGCGACGATTACAGCAATGTCTTCTCTGAGGGAGAAGACTCGAGCACTGCCGATCCGGCGGGCGAGCCTCACTTTGCCGACCCCGTCGTCGGAACCAGTATGCCCCCTCTTTCTCCTGCTGATGCTGCGCTAACTAACTCGGATAGTTCGCGAACGGAACCTGAACGTGGATCAGTTCATCGCCCAGTGGCTATACCAGCCGTCCGCCGCCTCGATCCCAAGCCTATCGATGTCCCCCGCTCGCCACCTTCCTCGCAACGCCATCACACAACTCATTGGATGGAACCCCCCGGCAAAGATTGTCCGGCCGCCCGGGTATCACGCCGACTTCTACGACCTGCAACAGATCCCCTGGTGGGATGCCTTGCGGATTCAGCGGCCGTATGTGCGCAAGCAGCGGGACCTGTCGTATACGTCGTACCACAACCTGGAGTACTCGCGGCAACGGCCCGGGGCGCGGCTGCCGCAGGACGAGTCGTACTTCCGAGGCCAGGCCATGTACACGGCGCACAAGGCCACCATCGAACACTTTCAGCTACGGAATCTCATGTCGGCGGTGGCATATAACACGATCCACTTCGCGCACGAGTCCAAGATTTATTCGTGGGTGCCGGCCTACGACGATCTCACTTGCCTGCTCGATCTATCCCGGCCGACGCCCGAGTCGCTGCTGCCGGGGCTGGTCAAAATCTCAACCATGAAGTCGGCGCACGACCTGACGATCGCGGGCGGGTTTTCGGGGGAGTATGCGATGCGCGCGGCGGGTACGACGGGGCCGGGCGTGCAAGGCTACGTGACCAAGGACGCCAACGGCATCACCAACCACATCGACATCATCCCGAGCCGGACAAGCGGGATCCCACTAGGCATCTTCGCGTCCAACGACCGGCACCTGCGGGTGCTAGACTGCGCGACCAACACGTTTGTATCGGACCACGAGCTGTCGCGGGCGATCAACTGCACGGCGACGGCGCCGGACGGGCGGCTGCGCGTGCTGATCGGCGACTCGGCGGACGCGTGGGTGGTGGAGGCGGACACGGGGCGCCCCGTCCATCCCCTGCGCGGCCACCGCGATTTCGGGTTCGCGTGCGCCTGGTCGCCCGACATGCATCACATCGCCACCAGCAACCAGGACAAGACGGCCATAATTTGGGACGTGCGCATGTGGCGCATGCTGCAGAAGATCCAGGCCGACGGGGCGGGCTACCGGTCTCTCCGCTGGTCGCCCGTGGGCGGGGGGCCGCGCACGTTGCTGCTGTCTGAGCCGGCGGACCGCATCGCGGTAGTCAACGCGCAGACGTACCAAAGTCGGCAGGTACATGACTTCTTCGGGGAGATCGGGGGTGCCGACTACGCGCCGGACGGCAGCACGATCTGGGTGGCCAACACGGACGAGCATTTTGGAGGATTCCTGCAGTATGACCGACGGCAATGGGGACAACGGTATGGACTGCGGGATCTGCCCAACGAGTGGCGGCGCGAAATGGAGCTGGAGGACGATGCCCGATGTGCGCTGAGTGAGCGAGAGCGCCAGCTGCGGTGGATGTGGAATCTCGAAGACGAGGAGCATGAAGCGTTGCTGCTATAGGGTGGTTGCAGTGGCTGTATGAGTATTGCATTGATTGGGTGGAGATGTCAGCATTTAGCGTTAGATACCAATTTTCCTGCTGGCCAGCGTTCTATTATACCATGATTTTCTATCTCTTCTCAACCCCTGTGCCACCAATATAGTGTCTGCCACACGTCGGAGTAATCGTCCAGGTCGTCAGTCACAGGAATAATATCCGATCGATCGGAGGGTGGCTGAGGGCCCCACCTCCCCGCCGATCTCTTGGTCACACCGCCACAGCCCCTCCATCATCCCTTCCATAAAACCCCTCCCCCTCCCCCTTTCACTCCATCAGTCTCCCCTGTTTTCTTTCCATCCAAACAATTAAACCAACCTCTCTCGAACAACTCCATTACCAAACACTACCACCAGCATGTCCTTCTCCAACTTCATCTCCTCCGCCATCCAGCAAGGCCTCTCCGGCGGCTCCTCCGGCGGTAACTCCAACTACGACCCCGAGTTCTCCTCCGCTCACGCCCACGCCCAGTCCCACCACTCCTCCTACAACCAGGGCGAAGACTCCTACCCCTCCCAGGGCGGTGGCGGTGGCGGCAGCAGCAGCGGCGGCAGCGACCTTTTCTCCACGGCCCTGGGCTTCCTCTCGTCCCGCAAGTCGCAGTACGAGGAACAGCCCGACGTCGACGAGGAACACATGGTGCGGTCGCACCAGGCGTTGTACAACAACCAGGATGAGGGCCAGCAGCACGACTCGCAGTCCCTGGGCGCGGGCGCCGCCATGCAGGCACTGAAGATGTTCACGAGTGGGTCGGGCGGTAGCTCCGGGGATAAGAATGAGTTCATTGGCATGGCTATGGCTCAGGCGTCGAAGCTGTGGGACCAGAAGGCTGGGTCGGGGTCTGTGGTAAGTTTTATTCTTTTGCACTTTTGTGGGTTGGAGTTAGGGATAGGATGGGCTAATACGGATGGATTGGTATAGTCTGGCGATAAGCAATCGGCTATCAACTCGGCGGCTGAGATGGCCTTCAAGATGTATATGAAGTCGCAGGGCAGTGGATCTAGCGGAACGGGTGGCCCGGCTGGTCTGTTGAATCTGGCGAGCAAGTTCCTGTAAATGATATCCCTGGTTGTGGTGGTGTGTGTGTGTGCGGGCATAGGTGGATTTAGCTGGTTTCTTGTACTTATTGATCATGACCTTGTTTTGTAGTATGGTTACGTAGGCAAAACTGCAAAGCTATACATGTCTATTTTGATCTACCGGGTATGCGCTCTAGCTGGTCTCATCGTTCTCTGTTCCTCCAAGAAGCTTACCACTCATCATCGTCATCCTGGTGTCCTTGCATCGCGTGCTGTCGCGCCTTCAGCGCCTCTGCCAGTCCACCCGCCAGACTCGCGTTTGACGCGCTGTTTGGCGTGCCTCGTCCACTACCTCCCGATGAGTCGTGGGAGTTCATGCTCACTGCACTGTCCCGGGGCGCTGCTGGGGGGGCTGGCGCCACCTTCCGTCCGGCCATGTTGGGTCGCTTCACCGGTGGTGCTGGCGGCGTGGGCTTGGACTTGGCTTTGGCGGCTGCCGCTGCTGCCGCCCCGTTCGTTGCTGGCACCGGGCTGGCCCGCGGTGCGACCGGGGGCGGGGGAGGAGGTGCAGGCTTGGGTGTCGCAGCTACTTGCTCCTCGAGGTAGGCTTCAGGGGTCCAACCCTGCACCGACGTCGCCGTGTTCATACACAACCACCACCCTGCACGTATTAGCTGACGTGTGCCGACATGACATGGCTGGTGTCACTTACCATTTCCTTCCTTGGACACGATCTGCACAATCTCGCCCGCCCGGATCGACAGCTCGTTAGACTGGTCGCTGTTGAAGTCGTACAGCACCTTGGCCGTCGGCTTCTTCTGCGCCGGAGGGCTCGCAGGGGGCGCAGGGGGCGGTGGGGGTGGAGCCCGTCCAGAGCTGGATGATGCGTTCCGGACGTGTTGCGATGCGGCAACCGCGGCAATAGGCTGAGGGACCGGCCTAGGCTGCGCTGCTGGCGACACGGCTGGCCGCGGGGCCGGTGGTGGTTGCACAGCAGCCGGCTGCGTCGACTGAGGCAGAGGCTGGCGTGCCGGCACTGGCCTGGATGCCAGTTTCGAGGGCCCGCCGCCAGGGCCGCCAGGACGCAGCAGCTTGCCCTTCGTGACGGGTCGCGCAGCGACCGCCTTCGGGCGGGGCGTGGGCTTGGAGACGGAGCTGGGGGGCTCGCCCGCACTCGTGTGGATGGTACTGCTCTTGTAGCTGTCGACCGTCGCCGCGGGGTCCTTGACGACCTTGACCGTCGCCAGCTTGCCGGGCTTCTTGTTGTACTCGATACTAAGGAGGGTTAGTAGCGCTCACCGCAGGACGCAAACAACTTACTGGTCGGCAATCTTCAGGGTCAACTGCCCCCGCAGAGCGTTGGTGAGGTGCGTGAAGAATTCGGTCTTGAACACACAGTTGAGCAGCGGATCCGGCTCCTGGCCGCCCACCACGAGCGAAAACCAGTCATCTTTCAGGTTCGATGTGCTAACCGACTTGATCGCCCCGATGGGTATCGTTCTCTCGGATGCGATCTGGAGCTGGTTGTTGACCAGCGTTTGTGCCACAATGTAGACGTGTCGGTTGGTCTGTATGGTCAGCAGGCGTCTTGGGCCAGAAGCAGGCAACTTACCAGAACAAAGATCCGGGGGGACGGCTTGCTAGACCGGCCAAACTTGGAAATCAACACCTCACCACGGCAAGAGAAAAGAACGTTGTCCGATCCTGGAGCGCGTTAGCAAAGACCGAAGCGTAGAGAAGTCCAACTTACCGCTAATGCCTGCACCGTTGCGTATCATTTCGCCCGGCCCACCGTTGTTGCCGACTCCCACGTAATCCCCGAGGAACCGCCGCGATCCGAGCAAACTCATCCGGCGACGCTCCTTCTTGCCTTGGAGAACCTGGTGCCCTTGATCCCGCAGCTTAATAAACTCGAGGCCACCCGTCATCCGGCGCCAGAACCGCTGGATGCGTGTGGCACACTCGATCCGGTAGCGCAGGTAGTTGCGCCAAGCTCGCTGGATGCGAATCGCCATGTTGTGCCAGTACCGGTCGCGCATCGCCTCCAAGGCGAACAGCGTCTCCGGCGTCTTGACAAACACCTTGGTGAGACCCATCTGGTACTCCTCGCTGGGGATACTGGTGTCTTTCAGGATCTGCCGAGCACCCGACTCCGCATCGCCCGTCCAGGTGTAGTCTCCAGCGTATGATGTCTTGGGTGACAGCAGGTAGAAGCGCTCCACGAACTTATCAAACGTTTGACGGTAAGCGAAACCCGCACGACGGATACGGACGTTCTCCTGCAGACCCAGGTATTTGATCTGGTGCAGCACGTTCCCTTGATTGTACTCGCGGGGCGCTTTGTTGTCGTTGGGCTTGATCGTCCGAATGTAGGACGGTTGGGCTTTCATCAAGGTTGCCACCAGCTCGTTGGCCGACAACTTGATCTTGTCGCTAGCCGTGGGCGGACGTCTCTTGTCATCCTGGTTCACCTGGTTAGGGAAGAGGGTGTGCACAAAGGGGTTGCCACTGGACCCAACGAGGTTCAGCAGATCCTTCAACAGCTGGTCCTTGTTCTTGTCGGTCATGCCCTCGACGGCGTAGCTGACATCACCGGCGTAGTGCTTGACGATGAACTGGCCCTGGCGGTTCTCAAAGTTGGGGTTCTGGCCCAGGAAGTTCAGTCGGCCAACGAAAGTGTTGTCGGCCGCGCCGGAGTCGGCGTGCGCCGTCGCGCAAGCATCGTTGAGGGCCGCAAACACACCGGGCGGGCGCTTGTCTTCGATCAACGAGCACACGACCTTGTTGTCAAAGTACTTGATGGGAGTCCACTGAATCTGCTCCCGCGCATACTCATCCTGCTCCGCTTTCAGGGTCAACTGGATGAAGATCTGCTGCAGCTTCTCATTGACGTAGTTAATACACAATTGCTCGAACGAGTTCTTCTCGAAAATCTCAAATCCGTAGATATCCAAAATACCAATGGAGTTCGCGATCGACCCTCGGGCCGTCAGGGAGGAGTTGACACGCCCGACAATCCAGTCAAAGAGGTTGAAATAGATTGCCTTAGCCAACGCATCCCGCACAGCCAGCGCCTGGACGGTATTGAGAGGAACCTCATAGACAGACCCCCGGCGACCTCCGCGCGCCGTCTCCATTAAGCGAATTGTGAGCGCCTTGTTCACCTGGCCAGGATCGACTTCCAGCAAGTATGCGACAAAGTTGACCACAGACTGGTCCGTGATGGCTGCGTTCCCGGAATCGTCTTCGGCGAACTGTACGTTGCCAATCCACAGAATGGCGGCCAGCATACGGAACACATCGTCCTGCTCGGCTTCCGACATTCCGATCACGCCCATGGCATCCAGAGTATCTTTGAACTCGGCCGTATCATCGATTCCGGGTACATCGTAGCACTTCGATCGGCTGGTGTACTGGTAGGTTTGAGGCTGCTGCACACCGAACATATCTAAACCAGGCGTCAGCTCGAGTCAAGGAGGCCAGCCAATACGCCTACCTCGGTATTTTTGCGGGGCCGCCTTGGTGAACTGGTAGAAAATGTGGAAGTTCCGCTCGTTGGTGATTTGTCCCACCACTCGCGATTTCTCCAACAGGTAGTTGGTGATGTTGGCACCGACCGGCTCGCCGTTGGTATTGAACTCCAGTTCTAGGTATTTTCCGAAACGAGAGGAATTGTTGTTGCGCAAGGTCTTCGCGTTACCAAATGATTCTAGCAGCGGGTTGGTGGCCAGAACCATGTCCTTGGTCTGTTGAATGGACGAGTCGCTACCGCCAGACACACTGGCGATGTACTGCATGAGGCGCTTGGCCGCCTCCGTCTTACCCGCACCCGACTCTCCCGAGATGATCACACACTGGTTATCCTTGTATGACTTCATGTTGTAGTAGGCAGATTCTGCGACCGCGAAAACGTGGGGCGGGACTTCGAGGCGGTTCTTCCCCCGGTAGGACTCGAGGACGGGGTCGGTGTAGATACCCACTAGGATAGGGGATGGAGTTAGCCACGCGATCATCACCAGGGTAGGCGCCTCAGGGGATGTACTCACAATCGCGAAATGGGTTGACGGACACCAGCACATGTCCAATGTATGTCTATGATGTCGCTCGTTAGTCCGTCGCCTGGCCAGGAGATGATGGTGAGAGCATACGTAGATCTCGTCATGTTCAAAGCGGAGTTTGAGGTTGTCGTTGATGGCCTCGTTGGAGATTTTGCTGAGTAGAGTGAGATCTGAAACACCAATCTCCTTCTTCTTTGTGCTTTCGAAGGTGGCCTTCTTAACCTGGGGCTTGCCCGCCTGTCGTCCGTCGCCCACATCGGCGGCGGCCTTGGAGCGACCGAAGCCCCGGCTCTTCTTCTCCCCGCCAGCCGGACGTCGTGAATGACCCTAAATTGGAGACTCTGGTCAACATGACCCCGATTGACACCGAAAGCCAGGCCATGTCATTCGGACTGGATGCGAAACAGGGCGCGACTCACCATGGTTGTGGCTACCGACCTCCCCGGATGTTGCGCCCAAGCGTCACGATATCTGGCCTATCAGTCTGCACCAGGATGTGGGCGGATAAATTCACAGCGGAGATGGAATGGACACCGCGGAGGGATGGTTCATTCCAGGAAGCGAGAAGGTGATAGGAGGGACCCGCCAGGACAATGTATCTTGGAGAAGAGGGGTATAGGAATGCGAAGAGATGGGGGGGGGAGAAGGAGGAGGAGGAGGAGGAGGAGAGGGAGAATGACGAAGGGTGCCTGTGGAGGAGGACTGACTTAGGAGGGACTAAGAAGACTAGGAAGACAAGCCAGGAGTGCCTAAGGACTGCTAGAGACTCCTGGCCGGTCTGATTCGGCGGGCCGGCCGATGGGGCCTGCGCCACACTTGGGTTGCGCTGCCTCAATACGCGCAAGCCAGTCTGGCCGCTACCCGATGCTTTTCTGGTACTCCCAGACTTGCTTACCTGGTAGGGGTACCTATGGACTAATGGTACTCCGTACTCCGGTACTCTGTAATCGGTCCAGGTATGCTGTTGCCTCCGGGGCAAAATCCCCGAGCGCCAGTCACTCCTGGGTCCCTGGCGCTAAGTTGGATGGCTGGCCGCACACGCCGGCCGGAGGCACCGACGATCCAAGGGACGCCCCGGCTCTCGGCGCCTGAGGCAGGCCGCAACGGTTCTCTCTCCCCTCACTACGTCACGCCTGCAGCCATCGGCCTTCTGCTTAGTACTTAGAGTAGTATGGAGTAGATAGCTCCCTCACCCCAAGCACATCTGGATTCACCGCAGAACCGGCCTTTTTCATCAAGCTCTTTAAGTAGGCATGGGTAGTCGATCGTAATTGGCGATTCTCCAATGACAACCCAACCCCTGGACAGGGGAGACCGAACTCGATTATGACGCTCCACTCCCGAAATATATTTTTGGCCGTGTGTACCTAACCCCCTCCGTCGGATTCCTGTATCCTTGCTGGCATCACCGTTGGGCAACGACGCCCACGTGACACCATTACTACATCCTATCTTACACGACAGACCAATACTACACATACTACACATCGTAGCCCCCCCTTGCAAAACCAAGGAGCAATTATTCAATTTCATGCCCGTCGCTGCTGATCCCCCTAATGGTCCATGGCGCTTCCTCAAAAGTCCACATCGGAAAGGCTAGGGATAGGAGCTACATCCTGCGAACGCGGCAGAGGACTGGAAAGGTCTTCGTGGGATGTCGATCGCCTCCAGGTTAGTGATGTATTCCTGCATAGAAGACAGCAAACAGGCCGACTCGGCAATAGGGATGATAGGGAGCATGGCTGGGAGTGATTCAACCATCCTGCGTAGTCAGACCATGTTAGCTGAGATACAGCTCTGACATAAAAATATATTGCCTCAATGTCCGTACAGAACTTGCAACGCCACCAGCCCCTCAAGTCGGTACCTGCCACTGGCGCTGCTGAAAGGCGCCTCGGAGAGTAGAAACACAATGGCTTTCTTGCTGGCACGACTGGCCGGGCAAAGAAAGAATTGGCGCAGTCTAGATATAGTATTTGGTGTGGTAGATGACTCTAAGGACGAGGATGTCAACAGGAGGACGCTCAGCATTGCTGTATTGTCTCCCAGACGGAACTCCATATCATGCTCCGCTGGTAGTCCACTTTCTATAGACATATCAGAGGAATAAGACCCAATCGACCGTGGGTCAACCAACCTGCCATGCCTGGGAACATTCTCAGAATCGGTCCCAGGGCCCTCCATACTGAGCGCCGTTGGAGGGAAGAGCAGTAGGTGCCTTGAAGAGAAACTGGGATGTCGGTTTCCATTGTGCGAGGGTATGACCGTTCGCCGATATACGAGATGGAAAGCTTTGATTGTCTATGAAGAGAAGAGTTGATTGAGTCTATGAGCCGTCTCCACTCGATGCTCCCGACACCAACCCCGCAAGCTGCCTTCCTTCCTGTTCTGTGATATATAAGGGTATCCCAAGATGATTCGCAAACTCGTAGACAATGTAGCGCCCCACTGATTCTATAACGATATGTACAGTAACATCGAATTTCATGGCCGGTATGGATTAGGCCTTCTTTGGCTCTGGAACCTTTTGCTCAGGTTCGACTGGCTTGGGCGCCGGCATAAATGCTTGAGCATCGACGGGCGGCTTCGCCGCGCTCTTGCTTTCCTTGATCACCGACTCCGCCCGTTGCTCAGCACTCTCAACAAAGGGCAAATATGATGTGATCCAGGAGAACAAGCTCGGCTCCTCTGGTGTTTTCACTTCCTCTTCCTGCTCAACGTCCCACACCTCGCGCGGCAGAATCCGTGCAGAGGACCTCGGGAGTTCGCCGTGCTTGGCCTTATGTTGGAGCAGCTCCTTCTCCAAAGCCAGTAGGGCCTGCCGGGCAGCCTTCTCAGACTGCTCTAGTTCGGCCAGCCGAGTCTCCACGTCCTCCCTGCGGGTTGTTTCTTTCCTCCGCGATCGCCATGACTCGAACACGATCAAACCGCCCGCCACCAGGAACAGAAAGGTCTCACTGATGAATGTGGCACCCGACTCAATTGCCTTGGACTCGGACAATGGTCGAATGTGAGGTTTCGGCGCCGGCTTCGCGGCCTCCTCGGCTGCTGCTTTGGCTTTCGCTATGGCTTCCTCTTCCGCTTTCGCCTCGGCGGCAGTCTTCGCGGTCGGGGAGGTCGGTTTGTGTTTTCGGAGTTCTGCTTCGGCAGCGGCGCGTTTTTGCGATGCGGCGTTGTCGCGGATGTTGCCTAGTCGGAGGCGCATGTCGATCCGGTGAAGGCCCTGCGCCATGGAGACGCAGATGTGCCGGAAGCGTTCATGTTCGCGAGCCTGGGCCTTGAGTTGGTTCTTCGGCGTGTCAGCATGTTCCTGTCAGGTGAGAGCCACTGCAAGGGTGGAAAAGCATACGGCGATCGGCTTTGACAAGGTGCGGATGACTAGAGATGAGAGCTTGAGTGTGAGGGACATGGTGGAGGGGAGTGGGGATGGGTGCTATAAAGGAGCAGGAGATAATGTGGATGTTGTAAATCAACGGCCTGCATCCATCAAGGACTGACGAGTAGTCTGGAAATAGCTTGCATTATGCCGGAAGGTGGTTGAGGATGATTCATGATGGCGGACTGGATTGTCAGGCATCGAGGGGCGCAGGCCATGCATAATCCGGGGGCGGTGTGCAAGCTGAGGTCAGCAATGCGCGTTGTTCCGGCAGTCGGATCAATGTTTATCGATTGCCGCTTCGGGCAGTTCGTTTGGGCGTCCGCCCGGCAGCTCTCCGTCTTTGCTTCTGTCTATCTATCCCTAGTACCTCACTCCCTGAGTTCCCCCACCTCCCCTCGGTCGCACTCTAACTGGTCGGGGCGGCGTTGATGCATCCCATTGTTTTTAAGCGTCAATTGTTTCATCGTTTGTTCAGTTGCAGTAAGTTGAGCCGTTGACATGGAATCTCCCCTCGTCCGGCGGGTGCGGTATTCCATCCCGTGCATTCTGCCATACGGTGGCTGGCGCTATTCCGGCACCAGGTCGCATAATACCATTGTCCCTCGTGGGTACTGACTGTCGATAGGAGCATCAGCCGAAGTACATACATTATACCCTAGTGCGCTGTACTGTCGTTGATCGTCTATTCCCCCGAGTTGATGTCCGCTACAATTATTCGGTCTCGAGATCACCTGCCATTCCCTTGGTCGCTCAAATTGGTACCCTACTGTTTCAGGACATAGAAAATGCTCGAAGACAGAATGGAGGCGCTGTCGCCGCGGTCGACGAACCAGATGATTAAACCCAAGATCTCGATGGAGCGCAAAGTGTTGGATAAGAACGCCGCTGCGGCTGCCCAGAAAGCTTCGTCGAAGAACCATGCACCTCCGCCGCCGTCGCTGGTTTTAGAGCCGGAGGATGATGGAGAGCGATACTCGACGGGCGCGTTTCTTGGAAAGGGAGGCTTTGCGATCTGCTACGAAGGGACGTTATTACGTACCGGTCGCGTTTTCGCAATGAAAGTAGTCAGATCCGAGATGGCACAGAAGAAGATGCAGGAGAAGGTATGGAGTCTTGCGCTTTAGATGGGCGATAGCTACAATGGGTATGCTGACAGTCGTGTTGCAGTTTCGCACCGAACTCCAAATCCACTCGAAGATGCGCCACCCTCACATCGTCGGATTCCATCGCGCCTTCGCCTTCGATAGTAGCATATATGTCATCTTGGAACTGTGCCCTAACGGCTCCGTCATGGATATGGTCAGAAAGAGGAAGTGCTTGAGTTTGCCCGAGGTCCGACGGTTTATGATCCAGCTCTGCGGCGCGATCAAATATCTACACAAGCGGAATGTCGCACATCGGGATCTGAAGATGGGAAACCTGTTTCTGGATCAAAATATGGATATCAAAGTGGGTGACTTTGGTCTGGCAGCAATGATCATGTCGGAGAAGGATGAGAAGAGGAGGAAGACGCTGTGCGGGACGCCAAATTACATTGCTCCAGAAGTTCTCGACAAAAGTAAAGGGGGGCATACCCAGAAGGTGGATATATGGTCCTTGGGAGTTATTTGGTAAGCGCCCACGTCGTTCTCGTGGCAGTCCACACACAGCTAATATTCCCAGCTTCGCCATGCTCACCGGATACCCGCCATTCCAATCCAAAACACAAGAGGAGATTTACAAGAAAGTACGAAATTTGGCCTACGTGTGGCCGAAAGGCACCGAATGCGCCAATCACATTCCCGAAGAAGCCAAGTCTCTGGTCAGCTTGTGCCTGAATCTAGCCGAAGAGGAGCGCCCCGAACCGGACGATATCGTGGAGCATCCGTTCTTCAGGATGTACGACGGCTGCATACCTAAACGACTTGATCCGGCTTGTTGCATTGGAAGGCCGATTTGGCTCAAGCCGGAGGAACCCCGCGGCGATCGAATGATGTATGGGAACAGCTTGGAGTATGACGAGAAGTTGTCCGGCTACATTGAACACGTGGATGATCCGAGCCAGCGGTATTTGATTTGCAGGGCGGCCTTCTACACCCTCTGCGGCGTGGGCAGAAAGCCAGACGGCACTGCCCGCAAAGCGGCAGGAAAGAATTGTTCGAAGTCTGCATATGCCGAGTGTCTAGCCGAGGAGGAAAAGGGCTTCCAGCCGGTCATACCACTACCAGAGGACATCGTGTATAGATACCCCCACGAGCCGGTGGGAGACTGGAGCGACCCTGATTCTACCCTCCTGTCCCGCAGAGATGGATCTTCATTCGAAGACAGTGCCATGTCACGAAAGAGCAGTGCACCCGCCCGGACCAATGTGGCATCCCTTACCCGAACTCAAGCGGCACTGGCTGCTGCTCAGCAGCGGCGGAAGGAGTCCCAGAGTCATGCGGCGACTCTGCGGCAGCAAGCAGCGACCGGACGAGGGTCTGTCCGGAAGATTGCCGCCGTCTGCGACCCGGTGGCCCCGTCGGCAAGGGCTTTGCCCGATGGAAGAGAGCCGGAGGGCAATCCTGCCGTCGTGCCTTCGGGCGGCCTGGCGGAGCGGCCAATTCGCACACGGCGTGGCGTGGCAGCATCGTATTCGGGCTCGCTGCGCGACCTTGACAGGAACATTGCGCCCCAGATCCCCAAATCCAGTACGGCACCGGATGTTTTGGCAATCGGAAAGACTCGCTCCCAGACCCGCTCGCAGTCCCGACGACTGGAGGCTGCCAGTCAAGAAGCTTGCCATGCCCCTCTCGTTAAAGAGCGCACCGCAACTGTAGCAGTGGATGACCTGCCGGTCAGATCACGTCAGCCTTCGCTACGGTCGATGCCGAAGTCCACCACCCGGGCAGTCCCTAAAGAAGCGGAAGACCCGAAAGATGTGGTCAAGGAAGATCTGAGACTGAAAAGTCACCCCGTGCGCCCTGACCCTTCTTCGCAACCTTTGAGTCGGTCTGGCAGCAAGACTGCCTCATCTACCAGTAAGCCACGCTCGACTCTAGGCCTACATCCCTTATTCCACCTGGAGGATCCATGGGAGGCCTTGCCACGGACGTCCCTGGATGATGTAAACATGGATCTCCGGCATATGCTGTCCAACATGGTCCCTCACTCAGCGGCTCGGCGGCGGGCTGGGCTTCGACGACCACCTCATGCCTATGTCATCAAATGGGTCGACTATACCAATCGGTACGGCATCGGCTATGTCTTGGACGATGGCAGTGTAGGCTGCGTGTTCAAGGCCGAGAATGGTCAGCCAGCGAGTGGGGTCGTAGTGCGAGATGGCGAGAAACATATCCGGCGTAAAGCCCGTAGCCAGGACACACACGAGGGGGCCGCTTATGTGTATCCCGAGGCGGACCAGCTCATCCCTCGCAACGGTAAGCCGGTAGAGTTTTACGAGAATTGCCCCAGCGACTTTGCGGAATGCCGCGGGGGGATTCGGAGAGCTCTGATCTCCCCGTCGTTGTTCGAGGTCAAGTCGTCCTCCAGCGGGTCCTCTGGAGCGGGCATCAAGATCCGCACCAACTCGGGTCTCGACTGTGCCCGGGCAGATGCGGAAAAGATCAAACGCGTCAAGCTGGTGGATCAATTCGGCAAGTATATGATCGGGTCTCTAGGCCGACACGGGGATGATGCTGTGTTTGAGGACGAGTTGGGGTCCGGTAGCTCGGGCCAGTTCATCAAATTCTACCAACGACTAGGCAACGTCGGTGTCTGGGGATTTGGCGATGGGGCTTTCCAGGTACGTGTGATGCGCCCACCTGAATGCGATCGGTGCATACTAACGGATGCCATAGTTCAACTTTCCCGATCATACCAAGCTCGTGATCGCTCCGGGCCGCACGAGAAGTTCGTCGCCCTGGATCGACTTTTACCACCTCTCGCCGTCTGCTGCCCGGTACCTCAGTACGAAGGGCAAGATGCACCCATCCGGGTTCGACACGCGGGCGGTGACTTCCGAGGAGGTTTCCACCTTCCTCGGCATTGCATATGGCACGGGGGTGAGCTCTTCGGACGACCGGATTCGCGACATCCTCGACGCCAATTCGTTCCTCCAGAAGATCAGCTTCATCAAGGAAGTGATGAAAGGATGGGTGAAGCAGGGGCGCCTCGGGGGACGAGCAGCGCCGGATCGAAGTGGCGGCGCAGGCCCGATGGAGTTGTTCTGGGAGGGATCCCAGGAGCGGGCCGCGGGGGGAAGTGGCAGCAAGTTTGTGTGGGTGACGGTGGGCGCCCCGGGCGGAGATGGCGAGTACCGGTCCGTGTCCCTGAAGGAGAAAAGACTCGAAGCCGAGGAGGACGGCGAGGGGGATGCATTACGGGAGCGGCTTCGGATGCTGGGGAGACCACTGTAGGAGAGAGCGCGTCCGTGGTTTTTCTTTACGACGATATGACAAGCCTATTGTTGGCGTTTGTGATTTGCGCGGTATATTTTAGGGTTGGCATGGCGCAGACGCCGTGTCCGGGTTGGTTTCTATCAATTCTGTATTTGATCACTGGGCAACTCCACCGAGTGTGGTGGTTAATCATACTTAATTGCCGACTATCGAGGGCTACGAGACCATGGCACCTTGCCTGGTTAAAAGTATATCAGCATTTGACTTCTGTCTCCCCTATGACGAAACAAGGACATTTGGGCCCCAATCATGATCCCCATCCTCACGCTAAGTTCCTGCAGTCACCGCGTCGTGATAAGGTGGCGGTCTCTCTGGTAACGCTACTGGATAATCAGTTGGGAACTCCATCAATGGCCAGGTCCAGTGTCACTTACCTCGACCGAGTCGTTCAGCGACAGTCCCTGGTCCATCCTCAGCCATCTTCTGGAGCTCGGTCACGACCTTATCGTATTCAAAGTCGTTCTTGCCCCCGAACCGAACCCTGCCAATGTGGTTGGCATTGATGGGCAAGGGCTTGGAGGTTCCCGCATCCCCCCCGGGGCGTAAAAACGGCAGCATCGGCAGGTACGGCGATCTCCAATGCGCCGGAGGCTTGCCAAGTCCTGGAGATGGGGGTGAAACTATCCGTGGTTTAGTAAGGGGGTGGCCAGTGACGGAGATTCTCGCAGAGACCTACTTTTTCATCCGATGGACGGGCATGGTTTCGTAGAGGGAGAGGGACCATGCGCGAGGCAACTGGAAACACTCGTCGACGCGTTGTTGGAGTTCCACTTGCAGGTCAGCACTCCCGACCAGGCTTCGCCCAAGTCTCTCGTTGGGCTGACCCTTGACCATGGCTGTGAGCGGCTTCTCAGGGAAGCCTTTCTGCGGCACTCCGAAGAAGACGACCGCATAGGCGGAGACGAAGAACGCCTGATCTGCGTCGCTGTCTTTGGCCTCGGATGCTTTGAACCAAAGCCTGTCAAGGTGTCAGTGGCAAGCTACAATGGGGCGATTGACCTACCATTTTGATGACGAGGCCTCCGAGGTCATGGCCGATTAAGATGAGAGGGCGAGGTTTCTGTGACGTTAGCGATGGATCGCATCCAGTTCGAGTTGTTCCAATGAACTTACTGTCTCTCCGGACCGGGCCACCTTGCTCCTGGCCATCGAAGCCATGGATGGCGATGATGCTGAATAATTAGTCCTTTCGAAGGCATCCCAGGAACGGCGCTCGTCGACTTACTCCATCTCTGCTTGGTCTCCCGGATCTGCCAAGGGCGTGGGACCGAGAAAGTGCAGTTCCACCGTGAGGTGAGCACCGTCTTTGCCAATTCCATCCGTGAGCGCTCTTGCCAGATGCTTGAGGTTTGTATCCTTGGCGAAAGTAATGGTGGCGATCTGGTAACGCGATATGCCCGAAATGGCTGGGGCCAGAGACCAACAGAGGACGTTGGAGGCATGGAACTCATCGCCATCGCGAACCACGGGGGTTAATCCCGCGAGCACCCTGCCAAACACCGCCTCGGTCATGTTAGCCGGGAGGCATGACACTCGCACGGTCTGATGGGCGATGGTCGGCTCCATGTTGCGTCTGCAAATAACCAGTTTGTGCGAATCTCGGAGATCGTATGGTGAAGAGCCCGACCTCTCACAAGGCTCCAAATGCAGCAGCCATAGAGAGTCGAGAAAGAAAAGATCTTATATGGGGCGGTGTTGAATGCTCCATCCAAAGAATGCCGGCAGCTGTCTTCAAAGATAGACAATGCCCGGGGGTGATTGTCTGGTGCAGTCCAGCGTGACTAACTACCATTTCGATGGCATCGGACTGGCCGCTTCCAGGAAGCATCCCCATCCGACACAAAGGAATTGAGCCAGTCGCCTTTGTTCTGCCTAGTGATACAGTTTGCCAAAAGGGACTCTTGGGGTAGAGTACCTCAACCGAATGGGGTTGCTTTGTCTTCGCTCACCAGTTTGCTGGACGACACGGACGGGTCGGCCAGATCCTTCCATGGGTCGGGCTTGTCCTTCCCCTGTTGAAACCCAAGGTACTACTACTTCCTCGACCACCACCGATGTCGTATTGGCCACCCCCACCCAGGGCACTGGAGACGAACCACGCTTAATGAAGGAGGGATCCATGTCGCAGGCTATTGCATCAAATACTGGACTCGATCTCCGTATTGCGGGGCTCCTTCCGGGTGGATATTGGAGCATCCCCGACAGCATTGACTCTCTACTCCGTACTGAGGATCTAAATTCTATTTCCTGTGCATCAGGTCGGTGGGTCTGGGATCCATCAACCGGGCTCCAGCGAAGGCCCTAATTTCGTTGGCGTCTATCGTATTCATGGCCGGTCGTCTGATGGCCAGTGGCTAGCGTGGCCAACCTGGTGCGGATCTGAGCTTTCTGTGTGTCATGGTTGACCCTCTTGGACTCTTGGCTGCTGGAAACCTTTCTGCCTTTTTACTTTTTTTACTCTTCTTCCTTCCTCGCCTGGTTCCAGGGTGATTTGATAGGGACCCGGACAGCGCCGGGGCTGTACGCTACGCTGTAATCTGTCCCCTGTTCTCCGAGCTCGTCATCTATCAATCCTCAAGCCATCAATGCAAGCCACGCTTGATGCAAGATCACTGACGCAAGGTGTCAAGGTGAGAGATGCTGCCGGTGAGCCCGCCAGCCAGCCAGCAGAGCGAACCGGCCGTTAGGCAGATGGCGTGCTCGGGGCTAAAATCCCGCCATGGCTGTGGAGATCCCAAGCATCATCCCCTGCCAGATCCCCCACTCCGACAGACAGCCACTGCAGAGGGCGAGCTGGTCGAGGCAACCAGGATACACGACCACTTCGTATAGCCAACATGATCCAGGTAACCACCTCCCGATTAAGTTGAGGGAAGGTCCCCAGGGGAGGGCGAGCTTAAATCTCCAGGGACACGGACCCGCTGACACCATCTGGGACCTCGATACCGGTCAGCCATCCCCCGGATTGGCTGAGGAGACCCGTTCCTGTGAGGACGAGATGGAGCGGATTCAGTCAAGACTCCAGAGGACTGGTCTGGATGATATCCGCGGAGAACCCACGCTGGGTGTGCCCGGTGGAACCCTGGCCAGCCCTATCCCGGCCCATGCCCATGCCCATTGCGGGTGAAAATTAGAAACGAGAACCTCGAGACTAGCAGCTAGCCTTTGATGGTGGTGGCATGGCAGGCCTTAGTCAATTCTTATTCCCCCCCACGGAAGGCAGCCTGGCCCATGAGGAGTGCTGAATATGGTGCAATCCTCCTGGGGGGGCTGAGCTCCCTGTGCGCATCCCAGACCAGAATCAGGGCCAAGCGCGCCAGCCACACTCTTGGGCGACATGAAGAAATCTCTTCCCAGGTGTCTGGGAGCAAAACAAACCATTCGCCCCGTGAAACCAGGAGGATGATGGACGACTGGGCTTCCCCATTCGTGCCGTGAGGTCCAAGTAAGAGCAGCGGGCGTCCCACGGCGGGCCTGCAGCCCCTCTGGGCAGCACATGGCGAGGCATTCGTGTTTTGGAGCTAAAATCACGACATCGATCCCCTGTCGCTCGAGTCTCGGATTTTTGATATTGGCTATATACTCTCTCATCTCCCTCTGCCTCGTTCAGAATCTCGTCATTGCACCCTGCTACATTATCTGAGGCCTTGTTATCCGGGCTGATAACGATCCAAAGGCACTCTACGCGCATTTCCGACGCAGAAGATGTCCGCAACAGCGGGCCGTTTTCTGGCCAAAGCACTCGGGATTGATCTGCCATCCAACGACCCCTCCGAGTCTCGCGATGGAGCTGGTCTGCCAGACCATACGGGCTCCTATGTGGAGGTCGAGCCGACCGCGGGGGAATGGCTGCGAGGGCTCGTTCCCTCCCGCCGCCAGGTGGGCCACTACTTCTACAGCATGTTCCCTTTTCTCCACTGGATCTGGAGCTACAACCTGCAATGGTTCATCGGAGATCTCATCGCCGGTAAGCCAGCCCCACGAATGAAACCTCGGCTAGACCATCCAGATTGACGGGGGTTAGGGGTCACGGTGGGCGCCGTGGTGATCCCGCAGGGCATGGCCTATGCCATTCTGGCCAAGTTGCCCGCGGAATACGGCTTGTATTCGTCCTTCATGGGGGTCTTGATCTACTGGTTCTTCGCCACGTCTAAAGATATCACCATCGGGGTAAGTCCTCCCTCTCGCCGTGAGGACCAGCCGCTAACCCAGTCAGCCGGTGGCCGTCATGTCCACCCTGGTAGGCACCATCATCATCGACGTTCAAGCCAAATACCCCGACGTCGAAGGGACGACCATCGCGCAAGCCCTCGCCATCATCTGCGGGGCCATCACCACCTTCATCGGCCTGTTTCGCCTGGGCTTCATCGTCGATTTCATTCCGCTGCCGGCCATCACGGCGTTCATGACCGGGTCCGCAATCAATGTCTGTGCGGGCCAGGTCAAGACGATGCTGGGGGAAACCGCCAGCTTCTCCACGCGGGGGGCCACCTACCGAGTCATCATCAACACCCTCAAATACCTGCCCTCGTCGCAGATGGACGCTGCCATGGGCGTGACGGCGCTGGCCATGCTGTATGGCATCCGCGCGGCCTGCAATTATGGCACGCGGACGAAGCCCCAGCGGGCCAAGCTGTTCTTTTTCATCTCCACCCTGCGGACGGTCTTTGTGATCCTGTTCTACACCATGATCAGCGCGGCCGTCAATCTCCATCGACGCGACCATCCGGCCTTCAAGCTGCTGGGCAAGGTCCCCTACGGCTTCCAGCACGCCGGTGTGCCCAAGATTAATGCGGATATCATCAAGACCTTTGCCTCCGAACTCCCTGCCGCGGTGATCGTGCTGGTCATTGAGCATATTGCCATTTCGAAATCGTTCGGGCGCGTCAACAACTACACCATCAATCCGTCGCAGGAGTTCATCGCCATTGGCATTGCCAACCTGCTGGGCCCCTTCCTGGGCGGCTATCCGGCCACGGGGTCGTTCTCGCGCACGGCCATCAAGGCCAAGTCGGGCGTCCGGACGCCGCTGGCGGGGGTCATCACGGCCATCATCGTCCTGCTCGCCATCTATGCCCTGCCGGCCTTGTTCTTCTACATCCCCAGCTCCTCTCTGTCGGCGGTCATCATCCACGCGGTGGGCGACCTGATCGCCCCGCCCCGCACGCTGTACCAATTCTGGCTCGTGTCGCCCCTGGATGCCCTGATCTGCTTCATCGGCATCATCGTCATCATCTTCTCCACCATCGAGATCGGAATCTACTGCACCATCTGCTTGTCGGTGGCCGTGCTGCTGTTCCGCATTGCCAAAGCCCGGGGCCAGTTCCTCGGGCCGGTGCCGGTCCATTCGGTCATTGGCGACCACCTGTTGGAGGACACGGGCTCCAAGGAATTCAATCCCGGCTCGCAACTCGCCAGCTCGGACTTCAAGCATGCGTCGCGCCGCACCATCTTCCTGCCCCTGGCGCATACCGATGGCTCCAACCCGACCGTCCCCGTCCGCCAGCCCGCGCCGGGCATCTTCATCTACCGGGTGTCGGAAGGGTTCAACTACCCCAACGCCAACCACTACACGGACTACCTCGTGCAACACATCTTTGAATCCACCCGTCGCACGAACCCCTCGTTATTCTCCCGGCCCGGGGATCGGCCGTGGAACGACCCTGCGCCGCGCAAGCCGCAGCCGGAGGCCGAGGACCCCTCGGCGCAACGGCCGCTGCTGCGGGCCATCATCCTGGATTTCTCCGCGGTGAACAATGTCGACGTGACCTCGGTGCAGAATCTGATCGATGTCCGGAACCAACTGGACCGGTACGCCGCCCCGGACCGCGTGGCGTGGCACTTTGCGCACATCAACAGCCGGTGGACCAAGCGCGCGCTGGCCGCGGCGGGCTTTGGTCGGCCGTCGGAGCAGTCGCAGGTGCCCCCGATCTTCAGCGTGGCCGATGTGAGCGAATCCCCGCCGGTGACCAAGCCGGGGAGCGACGTGGAGTCCCAAGCGGAGAGCATCGTGGACGGACGGGAGCCGATCTCGCAGCCGGCGGGAGGCCGCGAGGACAAGACGTCGGGCGTGCTGAGTATCCACGAGGTGGATGCGGCGAGACGAACCCACGCCACAGCTATTCCACCGCGTGGGGAGGACCAGCGGGCGGTGGTGACGGGCGTGAACTGGCCGTTGTTCCACATTGACTTGACGAGTGCCCTGGAGTGTGCGGTGGCGGGCATCTCCGACCGCCCGTCCAAGGCGCATGCCAGCTGAAGGGGAGGTTGAGAATCAGTTATCCTAGATTTAGTGCTTAATAGACGTAATTGCATCTTACCCACTTCGTGCTCCACCCAGGATATCATGCAGCTAGGCATTGGAGCCCGTCGATTCCACCCCATCGGCGCCTCTTTCGGCGAAACCCACCGGCTTTAATCCCACGACAGCCCATACCCATGACCAGTGTACCACATCCTGCCATACCCGTTGGAACCACCACCATGGACTCTCAGGCCCCCGACCTCACCAGCATGGCCAACCCGTCCTGTCTGCTCTACGGGCCCGGCGACGCCCGCTACGAAGACCGGCCCCTCCCTCGCATCACCTCGCCCACCGACGTGATCATCCGCATCGCCTACACCGGGGTCTGCGGCAGCGATGTACCCCCTCCCCTCCTCCCAGTCTCTCCCCCATCCATCCGTAGCCCTCAACTAAACCCACTCTGCATCAGGTCCACTTCTGGCACCACGGGGGCATCAAACGCCCCATCACGCCCAGCAACCCCATCACGATGGGCCACGAAGCCTCCGGGATCGTACACGCCATCGGACCCGCCGTGACCACCCTCGTCCCAGGGGACCGTATCGCCCTGGAACCCGGCTACGCCTGCCACCGCTGCATGATCTGCAAATCCGGACACTACAACCTCTGTCCGCGAATGAAGTTCGCCGGCGTGCCCGGGATCTGCCACGGCACGTTAACGCGGTTCTTCAAACTGCCTGCCGATTACTGCTATAAGATTCCTGATACGATGGGGCTAGAGGAAGCGACGTTGATGGAGCCGTTGGGGGTGGCGGTGCATTCGGTGCGAGCGGTTGGGGTGGGCCCGGGGATGCGCGTGTGTGTCTTTGGGGCCGGGACGGTGGGGGTGTTTTGTATGTTGGTGGCCAGGGAGTTTGGGGCCGAGCAGGTGGTGGGCGTGGATATGAATGCGCGGAAATTAGGGTTTGCGGGGGAGGTCATGGGCGAGGGGGCTGGGGGGTGGGGGGGTGGGTATGTGCCTGATGGGACGGGAGAGGGGGAGGGGAAGAGGATATTGGAGCGGTTTGGAATGGAGGAAAGTGAAGGGGACGGGTTTGATGTGGTGATTGAGGCCACCGGGGCAGAGGCCTGTATGCGCATGGGGGTCGAGGTGTTGCGCGTGGGCGGCCGGTTTATGCAGACGGGGTTGGGGAGACGGAATGTCAATTTTCCCATGGGCACGGTGGCCGAGAAGGAAATCACGCTCAAGGGCTGCTTCCGCTATGGACCGGGGGATTTTGCCCTGGGGGTGCAGTTTGCGGTGGAGGGGCGGTTTCCCTTGAAGCGGTTTATCACGAAGATCGTGGCGTTTGAGGACGCGGTCGAGGCGTGGGAGACTACGGCGAGAGGGGAGGGCATGAAGACGTTGATTCGGGGGGGGGGATCCGGTGTAGATGATGCTAGTGGGAAGTACTAGTATATTCATCTAGCTTTGTCTGGAATCTAGTAGCTTGAGACATAGCATAGCAGCTCGATATATTGAAGCCGCATCGTGCCATGGCTCATTGCAGTGGTAGGCTACAGCCGTGCCACCTCATCCTCCAAGATCTCCGGCAGCGTCGCCTCCAGACTCGGCCTCGATGGCGTCCATCCCAGCACCTTCGAGCCTCTCCGGGCCCGTCCGCGGGAGTTCATCCCCCAACTCAGCGACTCATACCCCGCGTACTTCTTCGCATCTTCCAGGCTGATCGACCCCGCCTTAGCTTCCGAAATCAAGCCCAATTCCACGGCCGTCTGCGCCGTCGCCTTGGCCAACTCGCCCCAGACGTGCTCCCCGTTCTCGGTCAGATAATAGGCGCGCGCCCCCCAGAGCTCGGGATCCTCCCGGCCCTGCACCGCCGCCTCCACGAGCAACACATACAAATCACTCAGATCATGCACGTGGATGTTATTCCAGATCGCCTTGCCGGGTCCGATAATCGGACCCTTCTTGAGCTGCAGCGTCACTTTGGCCAGCGCATAGGCCTGTCGTCCGCGCTGCGACACCGGACCACGACCCCGTCCTGAGGGATCAGTACCCCATATGTAAGGATCCTGCTAGGCATACATACCGTAAATCGTAGGCGGACAGATCAGCGCCGTCTGCACCACCCCCGCCTTGGTCTTGCCCGTCTCCAACACCACGCGATCTACATTCCGGTGGAAGGCGTGTTCCGGCAGATTCAGCAGTTCATCCACATGGTCCCAATCATCGTACACCTTGTCGCTGTGCTCGCCAAAGACATTCCGGTCGGTATCGTGGAAGGTCAGAATGCCGGTGCCGCCGGTGTGTAGCCAGTATCCGGGCTTCTCTTTCGAGTGGCCCTTTGCCAGGCCGGCGGCGATGGCTTTGGCGGCGCCTTCGTGGTCGGAGGCGTCGGCAGTGTCTGCACCGTGTTAATTCAGAGATAGAATTGGGAGAAAATGGGGACATACGCAGGACGATATCCGCCCCGGCACTCTCCTTCTCAAGAAGCGCCGAGTCATCGAGGTCGCCAATCACCACCCGGATGGAGGGGTACTGGGCTTGGACCTGCTGGGCCTTGTCCGACGATCGGACGAGAGCGGTATAGCTGTACTCGGGATGCTTGGCGAAGAGGGCATAGAGGGCATCCCCGCCGATGTAGCCGGTTGCGCCGGTGCTGCACCAGTTAGTGGTGAACAGAGAAGCGGGGTAGAGTCGGACATGAAGATCTTAGGGAGGGTGGTCATATTGCTGTATCTGCTTCGATCGATATGGTCGATGTGTTCTGATGTGTCGTAATTGAGTGATGCCACTACGCTGATTGCTGCTGTTTATATGGGAATGAGCTGCTGGAGGAAAATCGATGGACGGATGAAGTCACGGCTAAATCAATTAATAATCAGATATGACGTGCGGGGTTGACCAGTTGCTGATTGATAACCTTGTCCGCCTGCCGAATCGGGCAAGCTCGGCCGACGGCGGGTGCCGCCGACGAGCATCCGGGGTTGGCCCCTTTTCTCTCTCCGCATGCAGGGATCTTGCAATGCCTCTGCAATTGCCGGGTTTTCTCGGAATTGAGAGATGGACCTTGATCAATGTTGCTTGCTTTGTCGATGGGTTGGTCTCGACACATGGAAAACTGAAGTGCAAATTCTGCAGGCAGCGCCTACCTCTAGGGGCATCCAATGTGTTCCAGACGTGGCATCTGCTCTGGATCGGTCATGGGAACCCCAGACGAGCAGCTGTGCTGAAAGAAGAAAGAGTAGGGTGCCAATGCTATGGTTGCAGCCCAAGCTTAATGGTGTATCGGCCATCCAGTCCAGTTCATCAACTGCCTTCACGACGACGGGGGTAGATCCGGAATTCTCGCGAAGAGCTTGGACTGCCCTCAGATCCGACAGATTCTGTCCAATTGCGATGTTCCGCCAGACAGTGCCTTCAAGCATAATCGGGAGACGTGTCGACGGGTCCACGAGCTCGATGGGCGGACCAACACCAAACAATGAATAAGGTGTTTCTCCATATCGGCTCTTCATCATCCTCTTAGTCACATCAGTGGGTCATTGTGGTATGATCTCGACCCAAGGGTTATCCCATTCGTCAAGCCTAACAAGCTCGGACGGATAAAAGTCTGGACAACCAATGGCAGCCCCATCAAAGGCAGCTCTCCACTTCCCCTCGTTCTTATTTGACAGTTTGAACCGGTTCCAAGACGTGACGCGCTGCCCCCTCCACCCCGGTGGGTCGCCTTTCTCCGATGCAGGCGGGTGAAACTTCTTCCACATTTGCCCTCGGTTTTATCCTGCTGGCGCGCACAAATCTGATTGACCCGAGGGATAATTCCAGAATGGCAGAATGGCATCGTATATAACGATCGCCCTATTCCACATAGGCAGCGTCTGATCGGGATGGGTATCGATCAGATATCGGGACGTGACTCACGATGGACGACACCGCATATCTCCGCGGAATATTTTACGTATCATCGAAGATAAGGCCGGGCAGGCAATCTGCTCCAGTCTTGGCCAGCGGTTGAGGCCCGATGTCTGCGTCTACATAAAGCGGGGTCGTCCCTCGTGCTTCCCCTCCACTGTGCCCGGACCGCGCGAGGACAAAATGGCAGACCATCTGGCAGTCAGTGATAGCGTGACTCGGGAGAGAAACATCGAGGCCCAGAGTGCCTTTGCCTCTACCCTGGTGCACGATGTGGAGAAGGCGCCTCATCCCAAGGAAGTGCCTGCCGACAAGCCACACACCAATGTTTATGGCTCGACCATCGACACCGCTACGTCTCTGGCCGGAACGGATGCCGTCTATGCGGCCAAGGCGGCGCTTCTAAACCAAGCCCTGATGGACATGGGCATGGGTCTTTACCAATGGATTTTGTTCCTCATCACCAGTGTGGGATGGTTCTTGGATAGTGTATGCCTGGCCGAGTCTCTATCATAGGGAGTGAACTAACACACTGTAGTTCTGGTTAATGTCCTTCACCGTCATCGCCCCCTCCAGCGCCAACGAAGCCCAGTTCTTCTACTCCGACAACAAAGAGGCGTATCTGTTCATCAGTCTCTACGTCGGTCTGACTACCGGCGCCACGGCCTGGCCTTGGATGTCCGACATGCTGGGTCGGAAGTGGATCTTCACCAGCACCCTGGTGCTGATGGGCATGGGGGGTCTCGTCGGAGCCGGCATGCCGGCCTTTACTGGTCTCTGTGTCGTTGGCTTCGTGGTCGGCTTTGCCGTGGCCGGCAACCAGGCCGTGGATGCGATGATTCTGCTGGAATCGGTGCCGGCCTCCCACCAGTTCCTGGTCTCCATGCAGGGTGCTTTCTGGGGACTGGGGCAGTTGGTGGCATCGGCTGTGGGATGGTGAGTATGGCCACCAAGGATTTCAGCATTCGACTGATGATGATAGGGCATTCATCGCTGTTTACACCTGCGGCACCGGGCCTGACGAGGTCAGCACCGGAACGGCCCTGGCACATCAGTCGCGCGCCACCCATTCCGACAGCAGTAGCAGCAGCAGCAGCAGCAGCTCGTGCCACTACGTCTCCAACAAGGGCTGGCGCTACGTGTGGTGGACCTTTGGCTGCATGACGCTGTTTCTGTATCTGTGCCGATTTGCGTTCCCGCTGCGGGAGACGCCCAAGTATCTGCTGTCCAAGCGTCGCGATGCCGAGGCCACCCAGATCGTCAAGGACATTGCGGCGTACAGCAACCGCAAGACCTGGCTGGAGGAGTCGTCCTTTGCTCGCATTGATTCGACTGTGGATGCGAGCGCTCCGGAGTCTCGTCGTCAGTCGCGGACCAAGTCGGTGGTGTCTTCTGTCGGGGGCATCGGCCTGGCCATGCTCGGTCTGCTCTGGGCCGTGACTGGATTGACCTTTATTCTGCACAAGTCCTACATCAGCACGTACCTCGCCACCAAGGGTGTCTCCGCCGTGACGGCCACCAGCGTGACCACTCCGTACCTGTACAGCCGCTACCTGTACGTGGCGCTGTGTGCCATTCCGGGACCGATCGTCGTGGGTCTCCTCATCGAGGCCAAGGGTCTGGGGCGCAAGCGCACGGGCGCCATCATCGCCGTGCTGACGGGGTTGTTCATGTTCCTGGCAACGGTGTCTCGGTCCCGCAACGCGCTGCTGGCGTTCGAGTGCATCCTGTCGTTCTTGCAGACGGCCACTCTGGCGGTGCTCATCACCTACACGGTGGAGGTGTTTGCAGCGCCCTTCCGCGGCTTGGGACTGAGTGTCATGGGGTTCTCGTGGGGATTGTTCGGACTCATCGCAAGCATTATCACCACGTTCGAGGGAGGCGCGGCGGATGGCGCGGCGGTGTGGTTCTGTGGTGCGATCTGGGTGTTGATGGGGGGTGCCTGGCTGGCGGTTCCGGAGACGAAGGGACGGGCGGCAGCGTGATGCCGGGAATGATACTGCGGTGATATTGCAGGGATGTGATGGTGATGACTGACGGTGATGATAATGGACGTGCATCCACGACTGACGAAAGACTGATGAAAAGGCTGGTATCCAGAGACATGTGGTATCCATAATTGATAGCAGTAAATGAACACGATGGAGAACATATTAGCATCCTACACAACCTCTCATAATCTATCTCAACATCTAACCTACAACAACCTCCTCCCAAACCGCTGAAACAACACTGCTCCCACCCCCAGCACCACCGGCACCGCCAACCACTTGGCATATCCCCCGCACCCAGCCTGCTCCTGCTTCCCTCTCGGCTTCCGCAGCATATACCCCGGCACAAACTCCCCCAGATCACCCCCCAGATTCTCCCCCTCCAGGACCAACTCAAACCCATGTTTCGCATAGACGGGTCTGGCCATGGGCGCCGAAATGACAAACGCCTCGACCCCCTCCGCATCCGCACGGTCCACTCCCCACCGAATCATCTCCGATGCGACGCCCCGTCGGCGATACGCGGGTTTAGTACCGAGGATGTTGAGAACTAGACAAATTAGCCTCCTTTCATGCCCCTATCACCACCACCCCAAACGATCCCGTGAACCAGGGCAGGAAGGAAAAAAAAAAAAAAAAAAAAAAAAGGGAAAGAAACATACAATAAAACCGCCTCTCCCCCATAACCTTCCCCGTATTCCCGCCCATCTCGACCAACAACCGATTCCACGCCTCCAACCCGCCCACTTCCTCCGGATACGGCGGATATTCATCCTCCTCCTCCTCCTCTCCCTTCTCCCCCGCTGCAACCGGGGCCGGCAACTTCCACTCCAAAAACCCCACCATCTCCCCGTTCTCGGTATCAATGACCTTGAGGGTATGGAATTTGTCCGGCTGGGCGAGTTTCCCGGCGAACGCGGTGGTCCACCATTCGTGCATGCGGGGGACGTCGGGCCAGAGGTGCCGCTCGAATGGGGAGGTGAAGCATTCAAGGTAGAGGGTTGCGAGGGCGGGGGCGTCACTGGGGGTGCAGGGGTGGGTTTGCAGCATTGTGCTTATGCCCTGGATATGGGGTGGTTGGTGGGGTGGTGTTGAAGTTAGAGTTGGGGTTAGGGATGGGTGGGGATGATTAGGGTAAGTGATTTGGATGAGATGTAGAAATAGCGAGAATTATAAGCACAGGACACGACCGCGGCAGGGATTTAACCAAGCCCGGAGCAGTCGGTAGATACGTACTACGGGACGCCTAAGAAGATAGTGGGGAACTAGTGCCCGCTAAAGCCTAGTTGCAGAAGGATTCGAGCATCATGGGGATGTGAATGGACAATCCCCTGTACCGCGGGAACCAGGAACGGCGCAGATTGGTGGAATGTCTCAGGCCACCCGGGTTATCAGTGAGCTTACTGTGTAATCTGCTATCGTGGCATTATCATTAAGTGGCATGACAGGAAGAAGAAGAAGAAGAAGAAGAAGAAGAAGAAGAAGAAGAAGAAGAAGAAGAAGAAGAAGAAAAACCCCGCTAGTAATGCTTATCCAAGACACGATCCGGACTCCGGACCGGGGTGGCCGTGGGCCGCGGCTCGGCCGTCGAGATGGAATATCGCGACGACGACGGCTGAGAGGATTGCGGGAGAAAGGCCCGTCGATTGTATCCTTCGCGGGGCGAGGACCGATTCTCGCCGCTTTTCGTGGCTTCGATTTCCCGTTTCACCCCCTCGTACATGTATTCGATGAATTGGATTTCCTCCTGGATGTCGAGGGTGGAGCCGTCGAGACAGAGTTCGCGTTCGCGCTGCTCGATGTATTCGCGGATATTGCGCCATTCGTTCTGGTAGTGTTTGAGACGGTCGGGGAGGCCGGAGCCCTTGAGGTAGGTGAGTACGCCGGCCATGATGGTGTTGATGGCGCCAAAGGCCGTGACGGCGGAGTGGGGACCACTGGCGGCCCCCAGGGCGGTTAGGGCAGCGGCCACGACAATCTGGATGCCCAGACAGACGTTGATCAGGATGCTGAAGAAGCGGTAGCGCGTGGCGGCGGCTTGTTCGGCGCGGACGACGCGCGTGTAGATGCCGATGTTGGGGGCGGTGCGGCGGAAGTGGTGCAGGGTGGTGAGGGCGGGGATGCTGTCGATGCCGGTGAGGGCGCGGAAGACGAGGAGTTTGTCATCGGGGGGAATGAGCGAGCCGGCTTGGGTGGTGGCGATGGCGAGGGTTTTGGCTTGGGGGATGGCATGGGGGATAGGGGTTACTGCAGGGATTGCTATGGCGGCGGGAACGGGCGTCGGGGGAAGTCCCGCAGCACCGTTGGGCAGGGGGACATCGTAGGGAGGGTTGGCCTGGTGGGAATGGCCCTGAGGGATCGGGTGCAGGCCCTGTTCTTCGCGGTCAAAGGCAGCCAGCAGTCGTCGTGCGAGACCCGGACGGCGGTCAGCCATGGTGGAGGAGGGAGAAAATAATTTGTGGGATCGAGCGTGAGGACTGAGGGTCCCAACCCCTTTATTTGTAGCGGGGTTGATCCAAGCTCCGGTCCCTGGGGAGATGATTTGGTAGGTTTGGGATTGAGGGGGTGCAGCGCTCGCGCTGGACGCCACTTGGGGTTGCTCAGTCGCGAAGTTGGGTTTGGAGTGACATGACAGCGGAGAACTGCGGATGGCAGCCTGAGTTGGTCCGTTGGCCTGTTGGCGGCCCCTTGGAAGCCCACCGACTGAGGCTTCAGGCAAACTCTGAAGATACGCTGGACCCCTCGACCCACCGGGATCGTCCCTGTTCGGCACGAGTCGAGGTGGGACGTGCACGCTGCCGGGTTTGCACAATGGGGGAGCTGGAACCGACTGGCCGGGGGTGATTGTGGGGGATAATGAATGAGATGGCAGCTGTGAATGGATGCATGGGAGCATTCAGGGTTGAGCTAGCCAGAGGATCAGATCTGATTCGCCGCGGAAGGTTCCGAGGGGACAGCCGACACGACGAGGCTGTCAGCAACCCATCCACTGAATAAGCTTCATCGACGCCGCCAACCGGTTTGCGCGGGGTCCCGTCTGCCCGTGGCTTGTTACGAGCAGTACTACGATGCAATCGGCTGAACCACGGATCGCGAGGTTGTCATGCAGCGGAATCTCTGCCGATCGGGAGTTCTCCGTCAGACGCCGGGTGGAGTTCCGCGCCAACCCGGTGGAGAGGTACTCCGTATATATACCATGTAGCACTGAGCACTGAGCGTGGTCAGGCATAAAGGGCATCGACCTGGATAGGGCTCGCTTCGGCTACCCTCGGACAGCAACCGATCTGTCGGAGTCCGACTTCCACCCGGTCTTGCTGGAGAAATGATAAGGAAAAGATGCGGCGATAAGCTTCGATCGTTAACATAACTAGTTATCGGGCATATCCCCGCGCTTATTAATCTGCCCGCCGCAGACCAGAAAAATGGCCGACCCGCGCAACGGCGACGGGCGATGGCGCCATCCTTGGAGATTATCAATCCAATCGCCTGGCAACTGCACCTCCTCTCCAGTGACACCTCCCATCCTCAATAGCACCATGGGCGAAGCACCCCCCGTCAAAGACCACCTGCTCATCTCCTACGGCAGCAAACTCCCCCATTGGCTGCTGGAAGAGACCCAGGCTAAATTCCCCGAGGCCGAGGTCTCCGTGATCCAATTGCCCAACTTTGCCCCCATCCCGGCTGGTGAGTGCCTCATTGCTCACCTGCTGACTGCTAACAATAATCCTTAGAAATCGCCCGCAAAGCCACTCTCCTCGTCACCTTCAGCAACCTCCCCGCCCCCGAAGATGCATCCAAGTACCTACCCCTCCCACCACCCCGCATCGCAGCACCACACTGATACCAAGCAGAATCAAAATCATCCACTCCTTCTCCGCCGGTCTGGACCATCTGCTCGCCCACCCCATCATCAAAGACACCACCATCCCTCTCACCTCCAGCTCCGGCATCCACGGCCCTCCGATCGCCGAATGGACCATCATGAACTGGCTGGTCGCCTCCCGTCGCTTCATCGACACCCACAACAACCAGCAGAAGCATCTCTGGCAGCGGGACGAGAACATCATGGAAACCGTCCATGACCAGGTGGGCAAGAAAGTGGGCATCTTGGGATACGGAAGTATCGGACGACAAAGTAACATCCCCATCGCCATGTATCTGGAAAGAAATGCTAAATCGAGATAGTTGGCCGCGTGGCCTCGGCCCTCGGGATGCAAGTGCACGCCTACACGGCCTCGCCCCGTCCCACGCCCGCCTCCCGCATCGACCACGGCTATATTGTCCCCGGCACAGGGGACCACGACGGGACCATCCCGGTTTCCTGGCATCATGGAACCGACAAGGCCTCGATTCACGAGTTCCTCTCCCTCGGGCTGGACCACCTCGTCATCGCATTGCCCTTGACCCCGCAGACCACCCGGCTGCTCGGGGCCGAAGAGTTCGAGATCCTCAGTCGCGGGGTGCCCTCGTCGCGGCCCAGACCCTATCTGACGAATATCTCGCGCGGCAAGGTGTTGGATCAGGCGGCGTTGGTGGCGGCGTTGAAGGGGGGGGTGTTGAGTGGTGCGGCGCTGGATGTGGCGGATCCCGAACCCTTGCCGGCGGATGATCCCTTGTGGGAGGCACCCAACGTGCAGATCAGTCCGCATGTTAGTTCCGCGGGGAGGGAGTATATGCCCCGGTCGTTGGATATCCTCAAGGTCAACCTCGGCAGGCTGGAGCGGGGAGAGAAGTTGTTGAATGTGTTACAGCGGGGACGGGGATATTAAACCCATTATTCTTGGAATTGAAAGTGGTAGAGTAGACTAGACGTGATCCGTGTACATGATTTATGATTTAATGAATGGTATATGGAACCATGAAATCACCGAGTCAGCCATCCCCGAACGGCCTCCTCCGCGACCACCCCCACCACACCGGCACCCACCACCGCCCACGTCCACGGGTTAATCACCTCGGTGACTCCCGGCCAGAAGCTATTCTTCTCGCGCCGCCAGCTCTGCAGCTGCTCGTACTTGTGCGGGTCCTCGGCACGGTACCGCGATTCCTGGCTCGCCTCGGTCTGCTTGTCGCCGCCCACGAAGCGAAGGAAGATGTAGTTGGTCAGGGGACCCAGAAGGATAATGGGGTTGAAGTTGTTGGCGGCGTTGAGGACGGCAAAGGAGATGTGCACGAGCGTATCGCCGAGGTAGCTTGTTTCGTAACCCTGTTAGCAGGGATCGTACCATGCAAGAGGGATGGGGGGCTTACTTGGGGTGTCGAACGATACTCCACACGCCGTGACGGCACAGGTCGGTCCGTTCCTCGCGGTGCATCTCCAGCTGGGCATCCGCCATGACCTCCATGGCGAATCCGGCTCCGAAGAGCGCGACACCGAGGGCCCGCACCGCGGACTGGACATCGCTGTCCAGCGCCAATGTCGAGGAGGTCAACCGGAACGGCACGGTGAAGGGCAGAGAGATGAGAGTCAAGAAGGCTGCCTCAGGCAGATACTGCTTCCAGAGAGCCGAGGTCCAGAATCCCTGGGGATCTTCCTTCTTCAGCTGGTCGTAGCGCGGGTCATCCTTGCCGCGGGTGATGGTACGGGATGCGATGCGGGAGAACAGTCGAGTGCCCCAGACGGTGACACAAGCAAGGAGAACCTTTTCGGTCCAGGAGAGGGTCGACCAGGCGGTTTGCGGGGAGACGTGGTGATAGTAGACTTGGTGGCCGATGGCGCTCCACCAGGCGTTGATGACTTGACTGGAGGGCCAGCACCAATCCTTGATTTCGGCGCGGTCGGTGGCCTTGGAGGCGATGAAGGCAGCGATGTCGAGGGTGGTGTGGAGGGTGAAGGAGGGGAGGATGGTGGATTTGAAGATGCCGATGTCGGTGGAATGTAGTCGTGGGGTGGAGTGGAAGTGCGTGGAGCGGAGGTTGTCCCCGTAGGGACCGGACCCGGACAGATTCATGGTGAGAGGGGTGCCCGATAGGCAGGTGAGGTGGGAAACTCGATGGGCATGGCTGGTGGGAGGCCGGGTTTATAGATGGTGCTTGGCCAGTTGATGTCAGTCTTAGGTAACAGGACGGGATTGCGGTGCGATGACGATGATGGGCTCCGCTGCTTGCGGTGGTGGATCCCTGCCAGGGCCGGGCTGGACCCTTGCCAACCCTGCCGAGGTAGGTCACACATGAACTCATTGTTTGGATTTTGAGTTTGGCTCTTTCTGGTGTTCTGCGAATATGCGTAAAAAATACATAGCGGTTGTGATAAAATAGCACGATACATATGCTCGTTCATTCTGAGTGCCCTTCCGAACGCTGCACTAAATGAGAAAAGTCAAATTGCAACTCGGGCAGTCCAGACCCTTCGGTCCGGTATTTGCTTTGCATCAAGCTGGTCAGCCGATCCCTCCAGAGATCGAACCGTGTCTCTGCATCGGGTGTAAATGCTTCCAATTGGTCCCCGCCTTGGGTGTATAGATCTGTGGTGCATATATGGCCAAACATGGTGGACACTAATGGTAGGTCGGCCTGCTGAGCAACACCCACACTATGTAACTCACATCCATCGGGGATATTTTCAAGTGGCAATTTGCTCGTGCTGATCCTTCTGATCTTCGCTGCGTCATCAGTAATATCGCGTTGCGCCAGATAGCGCATCAAATACGACCTTGGGTCAAGTGGACTTAATACAGGCTCTGCGGTCTCGTCCGCTCTGGCAGCATCTGGCTGAAGAGCAGCCTTGGCAGCGAGATACCGACTCAGATGGGGCGAATTGGATGCAGATGGCTCCGGGCGGCTTTTGAGCTGCTCTCGGCGTCTTACAATCGCCTCCCTCTTTCGCTTTTCGAAGTCGAGTGCATTCTGAAGTTCCTGATGGCCGGTCTTGGACAGTTGGTGTAGTCGAGATGACCATCTCTCGAGAACGGGCAGTCCCGCATGCCTCTCCCGGAGCTCAGGGCCCTCCTCCGCACGACGCAAGGGAGAGCCCGGATCTTCGGGTTCGGATTCTGCCGAGCCGTCTTGTGAATCAGGTGATACATCACGGGGCACACTTCCGCCTGTCATCGCTCGTGAGCTGCCGGCGGGTTCCTCCGGTAACCCGAATCGTTCCTGCGCTAGTTGATGCAGCGGTGGCTCCTCTTGGTCTTCAGACTCATTGTTGGCAGTCGCTTGGGAAAGGGTGACGAGAGTGGTTTTGCTGAACCAGGTGTCTAGAGCTCCGTTGCCATAACGTTCCCTATCACGCTCCCTCAAGGCTGGTTTCAGGCTGCTTTGCACTGCGTTAACTGGAGATGTCTGCGTCTGGCCAGCTGGCGAAGACTCGACAGAGCCAGGAATAGACTTGGAGCCGGACGTAGAGGGGCTAGGGAGGAAGGACCTTGGAGAGCCAGTCTGCAGGGTCTCTCGTGAGTTTCTTCGACTATCTGTTGGACTCTGTACAGTGTTCCGTGTCGGTGTCCCAGTGATATCCCTCCGTGGCAAGGCCCTGTCGGGCTTCGGAGTTGGCATGCTTGATCGCAGCATAGACCAGAGATTAGCTGGATTCCCCAGCTCCGTACGGGTGACAGGGTTCGGAGTGTGGATTTTCTCTGGACCAGTCGCTTGCACGGATGAGCCGATCGACGTCAAATTTGTCGCAGAGCCACCGGGACTGCTAGACTGTAAAGATCGTTCCGGCTTCCGTGCAAGAAGCAAGTCGAATGAGTTTCGATGGGAAGGCACCTGTTCTCTACTTACGGCCTCTGGCTTCTTTGTGGAGTTTGATTGCTCGCCATATACATCACGCAAAAGCTCCTCCACCAAAGACAAAAGCAGTTGTGGGTCTTCGAGAAGAATATCATCCTTGGCGGGCTCGATATTCACATCGTAGCTTGCTTCTTTGCACCGGATATGGAGACACAAAAGCGGATCCGTGATGTTGGGAGACGGCTCCTGGCGAGAGGCCGCCGAGCGTATATAAGATTTATATAGTTTCGCAATATCCTGCGCAATACCTCGCGATGTCGATAAAGGCCTGCCATCGACACTAATATACTGACCTGAGCCGTTACCTTGGGAAAGATCTGACTCTGTCAGTACAGTCGATACTCACTGAAGGCTACGTACCAGAGGCTGCATCTGGGAGGAGTGCGACTAGCCGGAATCCTGCAGTCCCCTCTTGCTGATCGTCGCTGCCATCATCGGGCCATTCTTTAACAAGACAGCTCGAGGCATCCGTGCCTATAACCTTCAATGCGGCATCCATGAGCTTAGTGTCATGTCCCGGTGCATACATCCAGTTGTTGGACTCTGTTTTTGCTTTAAGCACTCTCAAGGATAGTCGTTTTGCGGGCTGCGCAATGGCGTACGCTTGTACGAGCTTCTTAATTCGGACCAGAGTCTTGGCAGCATTCTTCACAGCAGTTTGTCTCCGGACTGGAATGTGCTTGAACATATCGGTTATACGGACACTGGTCCCCACTGGATGTGACGCGCGCTGAGTACTGGATGGGTCAGCTTCGGACGACTCTCAGCAACGTGGGAGTCACCTTAGAAGCTCCCCATCTCGGCCATATTTAATAGCGAAACCCACGGGCTCATCATGAACCCGCGTGGAGACCGTCAAGCCACCGGAGATCTCCGCCGCACTCGCGAGCGCTTCACCTCGGAACCCGAGCGACCTTCCTCCGATCGTTCGGAGGTCCTCGACCGTTTGAATCTTGCTAGTGAAGGTGCGTTTGCAGACGAAAGGATGGTCGCTAGAAGGAATACCGTGCCCGTTATCTTTTACCTGAACTACATCCAGTGTATTCTGCGAGATCTCGATGAAAACTGAGGTGGCCGCTGCATCCAGGGCGTTATCCAGGAGCTCCTTGACAATGGAACAAGGATCGGAAATGACAGACGCGGAGCCGATGGCGCGCACGGTGGTTAGGGGGAGCGCCGCGATTGGCATCCTCAACGATAAAGCGCAATTAGACTACCATTGAAGTGGCATGCTTTGATGGAGGATCTAATGAGTGTAGTAAATGATATATTATATAAAAGCTCCGACAAGTAACGAACGATGCTGTTGATGGATGAGGGAAGAAAAGGAGAAGAGTGAGAGGAGTATTTCCACGCACAACCCGCGCCGGCCACGTGAGCTGAGTCAGCGGACCACGTGGCTGCTCACCATCTCGTCCTTTCCATTCTCCTTTCGATCCATCGCGTCTGCCGTGTCGTGGCTGAAGGAATATGAATCCAACGGCATGGCGGGATCTTCGTTTCGGATCTCGCAACTGGCGATTCCATCCGTCTGCATCCTGATCAGCTTCCTCGCATACAGCTCGCAATACTTCTTCCTGTACTTCGAGCCAGCTCCCCTCCGGGACACCGAGCTTTGGCGCCTTAATATCGCGGCCCTGTGCATCTGGATATGCTACTATCGAACCTGCACCGTAGATCCTGGTCGCATCCCCAAGAACTGGAAGCCGGTAGACAGTAAGCAACTTGAAGCTGACCGAGCCAGTGGACGGTCCCGATGGTGCCGGAAATGCGAGGCTTCCAAGCCGCCAAGAGCCCATCACTGCCGCACATGTCAAAGGTCAGTCGATCATCCAAATTCCCAATAGAATGGGGGCTAATGCTGAATAGATGCATTCCGAAGATGGATCACCACTGCCCGTGGACATCCAATTGTGTCTCCCACTTCACCTTTCCTCACTTCATCCGGTTTTTGTTCTATGCCGTCACGGGAATGTCTTACCTTGAGACTCTTCTGTATGAGAGAGCGTCGATCCTCTGGGCGTCCCGACACCGCCCAAGCGTAAGATAACCACCCTAGCCTGGCTTACTGAGCTGACGGCCTATCCAGTATCTTGGTCCCAGCGCGCTGCAAATGGCTCACCTGTTTGTTCTCTTCGTAGTCAACAGCTTCACGGTTTTCTTCTTGTTGGTCCTTCTGGGCCGGACCATCTGGTCGCTGAGTATCAATACCACCACCATTGAAGAATGGGAAATTGAACGGCACCAGACCTTGGTGCGTCGATCCAGACACTTTGGGGGATACCTAACAGGACCGGGGGGCGTCAAGATCCGCATCAAGAAGCAAGAATTTCCGTATGACATTGGGATCTGGTCTAATATCAAGGCGGGAATGGGCGGCAGCGCGAATGTGAGTTTCTCCACAACCTGTCGATTTGGCTAACCATATGCTCTAGGTTCTCGGCTGGTTTTGGCCATTGGCCAGAACACCCAACCGCCAGACGGGATTGGAGTTTGAAGTGAATGGATTCGAAGGTTCGTGGATCAATCGCTCCGACATCGGATGTTGTCTAACTTGATAGACCCCGACGTTACCTGGCCACCGCCCGACCCGGATAGGATCCCGGTTGCCCGCATGAACGAGAGCGAGTTCTCCGTTCCGGCGAATGCGTGGTTAAGCGACCGGGATGCTCGTCTTCCGAACGCCGATCAGAAAATCCGGCGTCGCAAGCGTTTCCATGATAGGGTCAAGGAAGGCCCCGCTCAAAGTGACACTTCACGCGAGTCATCGCCCAATTATGACACCCAGTCTGAAGATGGCGAGGAGGGCTGGCGAAACTCTGAAGGTGAACGGCTGCGCGATTTCGGAGTGGAAGAGGACGTCGAGTTCTACGACGAGGAGGATATCCCGCTAGCCATCTTGATGCAGCAGAGAGCACGAAACAGTGACAGTCGGCACATGTAACCAAGCTGTTTATGAACACAGATCCTATAAACAGAAATCATACTCTTCTCGCAATACCCCTCAAGCGTTTGTATCCCAGGTACTGGCTACCATCCTCGTGTCGAGTGACGGCTGTATAAAGAACATCGCAAATCTGCTGCACAACATTCTCCCTCTTTTCCTCCGGCAGGACATCCAGAAACGGTGCACCCATGAGTCTAACCCAGCCAGCCAAACCCCCGTTAGCCGCGTCAGTCAGCTTCGTAGGTCGATCCTCCATCTCCATCTTCTCGACGCGAAACCCGATCGAGTCGAGTGCATTCGTCATCCAAGCCACCGAAGGGAAGAACCACGGGTTCACCTCCCTGGCCTTTTCGACCGATATGCCATTCTGCACGAGCGCATAGATGAGAGCCGACTGAACCTCTGCCACATTTCCGTGCCCGCCCATTTCAAAAACGAAGACACCACCTGGTTTGAGACAGGCATGGATGCCTTGGAGGGTGGACATGCGTGTGGCATCATTTCTGAGAATCCAGTGCAAGGCTGCGTTGGAGATCCTATGCTCGAATCAATAAACAATCCCTAGACGTAAGTAAAAGCAAAATTCTTACACTTTATCCCACGACCCATTCGCAACAGACGACTCTTGTTCTAAGTAGCAACAGTCCAAGACCCGAAACTCTGCTTTCGCGCTCACATAGTCCTTCTGGGCGGACTCGATCATGGCCGGGGAAGAGTCAATGCCCAAGACGTAGTCAATAGCGGGAAGAAAGGCTTCGGTGAATTTGCCATCGCCGCATCCGACGTCCAGGACTCGGTCGGTGGGCTGGGGGTCGAGGTAGCGGAGAAGGGTTTGGGTGAGTTTAGGGACGAAGGATGCAGAGGTTGAGTAGGCCTGTTAATGGTGAGATTGGGATCAGTAGGATGGGGGCGAGTGCATACCTCAGCGGACCAGTGGTCCTGGGGCTGGTTGGTCTGGTCGGATGCCATTTTGAAGTTTATCGATATCGCAGCTTATCTATAGAGAGGGGGAATGGAAATGGTGATGTTCTAACGACCACGAAGTTGGGAGCAGAATAATCAGTTTCTAAGAATTGGAAGATAATGGAAGATAGGATAGTTGAACAGTGTTGATGATGATTGATTTGGGAGCGAAGATTGACTTCGTGAAAGGATGTCTCGGTTTATATGGTCGCAGCCTTGCTATCCGGCAGGCCGATGTCGGAGCAACATGAACGCTGCAGCACAGCGGGCAGGATTCACCCCAAGACATGGAGACATTTTCCACTCGGAAGGATTCATGAATTTTTCCAATTACAAATACCACTGTGCCTTCATTGTTCCGAGCCACGCAGCAAGTAGGAAGTGTGGGTGATGTTGTTGGTGGATATATTTCGTTGACGGAACGGCTTAGAAGCGCTTATAATCGGGATGTCCGTTTGTATGATCAGCCAGCTAACTGGAGTCCAACTTGAGCGCTCAGAATTTCACTCATGGGACTCGCCGTTTCCCCAGATAAACACAGAACTTGAGGTGACCGACATCGGAGATAGAATCCAGGGGGGCTGTTCGATTATGAAGATGCGTCCATCGTCATTTCTTATCAAGCTGTGCCAGTCTTATGCGCCAAGGTCATGCATTATACCTCTCATGCGATTGGACCAAGTGGCGCATCCACACATCAGGGCACAGACTTCTTTTCACTGTCACAGACGATTAGAAGCCACCTAGAAGACTGTCACCTCCCAGTCTTTTCTTTCCCAGGGTCGATGTAGAGAAAAATATTGACATTCCTTCGCTGGTGGCGGGAAGATTTCTTTGGACCCGAGAAATTATATCCCCACCAAGAGAGCTAAGGCTGACCGTTGGGATTGCAGGTATCATCTATGGCCGTCATGGTATCATTGGATTTTGAGGCTAATGGCCATGAAGATTGAAACCGTCTTCTACTATATACCGTAGGTCCTATCGATAGAAGATCGACAGCATCAAGGCGATCCCTTACAGCACGAGGCCCAACATTGATCGCTAGGCGGAGACTGGCCGCGATAACAGGACCCAAAAACTGATCTTCTAATTCCCTGGTCAGCAGAATATATGCTACACTGAAAGAAGGATACCATTGTTCCGTTCTGGAATGTGTCGTTCAGTCGCTATAATCTCACGCTTCTCGACAGATATCCTATCGTCGTGTCAACAACACGATGTACAACTATGTGTTGTCCTTGCCTGACTTTTGAGCTTTTCTTCCACAGTTCAATGCTACTGCGTTGGGTGATCGGTGAGGAAGAGGCTTTGAGCCACTTTGGTAGGCAATTTCAGGACAAGATGTATGGCTAGTTCTTGAGAGGGGAAGAATTCAAAGGGAGTTATGCCATTGCCCACCATCGCGAAGACGTTGCTGAAAGCGCGGGGAATAAACAACGTGGTTTCCGCATGATGAAAGACTGAGTGAGTAGGTCCGTCCTGCCAGCTGAGGGAGATCGGTCCGGCCTCTTGGTCTGATTGTTCGGTAGAAAGAGGTATCCATCAGCACAGAAGCATCCATCGTCTCCATCAGCTCGTTGGTTCCGTCGAATGTCGGCTTCCCATTTCACGGGAGCAGTCACTCGCCCGTGTTCCTTCCTGGTGCCTTCTGTTGTGTCCTCTTGCGCGAGTCGGTGCCCCTGCCGCATCCATTGAAAAGCTTAGTGACAACAGATGGCAGCTGCATGGATATGTACCTCTCCCTTCTATCTGACAGAGATTGGCCATTCTTATTGTAGCCAACGCACTCCGACGGTCATCAGTCGGTGCAATTATACTATCCTTACATTCTTCGTGGATCTACTGCCGCAGCATACTTCATATTGACCGCGTGTCAGCCATATTGTTCTTCCGGTAGGATGGGCCACATCCTTGATCTGCCCACGGAGCTCCTCCCGATAATATATCTGCACTTGAACAACATTGACGATGCTCTTCACCTGGCCCGCTGCTGCAAACGTTTCAATGGCGTCTTTGAATATCATCGCTTGGCAATTCTGCGCAATATCATCCAAAATGCCGATCATCATGTCTACGATGCGCGCTTGTGTGAAGAGATCGGATTGCACGAACACTACACGCTACACATGTCCCAGACCCGCTTCGTTTCCTTTGATCCAACTCTCCGCCGGACGGTCATGAACGCGTACCGAGCCTCCCTTCAGCCCAGTCCCGTGCTGCCGGCCAACGTGGTCTGGGACACGCTGGTGCGATGGCAAGCCATGCGGTTGCTATTTGACCTCTACTGCGACGCATCCGTGCACGAGACGTATTCCCAGTCCGCGTTTCGATTTGACCAAGGTCAGGATGACGAGCTGGTGGACACCTACCGACCCTTTCCGCCTCCATCCGGCGCGGTGTGCCCAGGCTTTGCCATCCTGGACCATCACCACCGACAGCGCGCCTATGAACGGTTCTACAAGGCGCTCACGGCACACTGGTGGCTCGTCGAGCGGCGGTGGGCCATCCGGGTCGATGTGTATGAGACCCCCGAGGAGTGCGTCGAGGCCTTCCTGACCCTGAGACCGACGATGCGGCAGTTCGTCAACCCCGCGCACACGATCCAGGAATGGATGGATCTTCTCGAGCTGGACGACTTTGTGTGGAATTTCCTCGCGCGCCGAGCTCTCGACCTGACGGACCGGGCAGCCTGGCTCTTGGCCACCTGGTCCCGCATTTTCAACCCCGTCGACCGCTACCGTCAGGATGAACTGGCACAAGCCTGGGGGCGCGTGCTCCCCCGGATCCTAGGGTACTTACGACCGTCCAATATCATTGAACTGCTCCTGCGGTCCCAGTGGGCGTCGCGCGGGGACTGGAGACTCAATCGAGAGACCTATTTGCGCCATATCGGAGACCTGGACGCGCCGTTTGGGGTGTATGCGAATGGCGACCTGGACTTTACCGAAGCCATGCCACAGCTCCGGTTTCTGGAAGGTGCGGTCGATGAAGCATTGGTGCACCTTTCTCGCGGCATCGGACCCGATACGCGGGAGGTGTGTACCTATACCCGATTGACGGTCGTGGAGCAGCAGCTCTGGTTTCTGTGGACCACGTATCGATTCGATGCCTGGCCGGAGCACGTCCGGGGTCAGCTCTTCTTCTGGGACGACCGGGACTCGAGGCAGATGGTGCAGCGGATCCAGGGGGCGGTGCCTCTGCCTCCGGAGGCGTAGTAGCATCCGACTTGGAGTTCGCTTGGGGCAATGCCAGGGTATGGCAGGTAATTAGAATAGCTTTATCATTGTTATTGACCGGGATACTACTAGATAGGCAGTTGGTCGGAGTAATATGATGCATGATGCGTCTGTACATTGGATTGAATCAGGCCCCAGAATGCTATCCCGGACGAGATTATTGAAGATGTTTTCAAAGAAGAGTGAAACAGAATCTGAACGTGATTTACTATACACAACAGCAGAAGAAACTAACCAAAACATCCAACCAATCAACTAACAAACAACTTGACACATGCATAAAATCAAACACAAGCACATGAAGCCCTAACAACCAACTCCAACCACCCAAACAACAAAACACACAAAACCCACCCTCAACATCCACCAGATACGAAAATTGCTCTCTACCGCACACTAACCGCCCTCTCCCTCCTCTCATCAGTGACAACCAACTCCTGCGCCGTAATAAACCACGCAAAGAGGCCCGCGCGCTTGGCGCGTCCAACCCAATGCAACGCCGGCACACTCGGCAGACCCAGGACATCTTCGTTGCCTGCCCCCTGGAACAGGTGTTCGGCCGCGCGACTGGTCACGTCCGTGCGGATGGTTGCGGTGGCGGGGTAGGTTTCGATCTTGAGCCTCTGGGGATTGTTTTGAGGAGTGGGGGTGGATGTGAAGATGCGGCTGAGTAAATCGGTAGAGATAGAGCCCAGATCCGCCAGATGGAAGGATCCGCCCAGACGAGTAAAATCGGGCTTGACCCCGAGGAGGCGCGAGTGGAGGAGGTAGCTTTCGACCACGGTCTTCTCGGTTTCGGAGAGATCCTCACGAGTCGAATCGGAGGGGATAGAGATGGGAGTGCGTGCAGGCCGATGCACAGTCACATCGATGCCATACTTCTCCGCCAACGAGGCGAGGTATTGTTCCGCAACCCACTTGGATGCCACGTAGCCGTTGGCGGCATCCGGCCGGGGCAGAGTCCGATCGGAGTGGGACTGCAGATCCGCGACTGCCCCGGAGGTGAGGACGTGCAGGGATGCACCGGTCGAGAGGGCCAACTTGGCCAGAGCCTTCGTAGCGGTGACATTGACCGGCTTCAGAGCAGCGTAGCCATCCCAGAAGTTGCGGTCCGCGGCACAGTGGATGATGGTGTCGATGTCCGTGGGCAGGTCAGCGGGCAGGTCCGGGAGGGTGGTAGGGATGGTGCGGATTTTCGGGTCAGTAGCGAGGGCGGCCAGGTCGCGGTCGGGGGCAGGACGGATCAGGAGGAGGATCTCGGTGATATTCTGGTTCGCGGTAAGGTAGGGGAGAAGGGATTTACCCAGGGAGCCGGTGGCGCCGGTGAGGAGGACGCGAAGGTTGGTGGTTTTGGGGGTCGGGTTAGGGTTCGGGGTGATGGTGGAGGGGGCCGGGAGGGATGGCTCGAGGGCGATTTCCTTGTCCCAGTCGGGAGCGGCGCCTTCGGTTTCCAGAAGGGTGGCCATGCGGGAGAGTTCGGGCGTGCTCATGAGCTTGCTGAGACGCGGGGCATCACCTAGGGCGCGTTTGATGGTGGATTGCAGCTTGACCAGGAGGAGGGAGTTACCACCCGCGCGGAAGAAGTCCGAGGAGGGGGAGAGGGGAGACGCGGCGAGGGCGTGGGCGGGGAGGACGGCGGCCCAGAGGTCAGCGAGACGACGCTCCGTCGCGGTGAAGGACGGCTGCTCAGAGGAGGCGGCGGTCGCAATGATTTCCGGCAGAGGCAGGGCTTGCACGGCCTTGCGGTCGACTTTGCCGTGGGCAGTCAGGGGTAGAGCGTCGACGGACACGATCACGGCGGGGATCATGTACTGCGGGAGGGCACGGGGGAGGGCGACTCGGAGCTCGTCAATGATCGCGGCGGTCTGCGCCTCGGTCTGGTCCTCGATCACGACGTGGGCGGCGAGGAAGCCATCGTCGTCCTCGCTGTCCGCACGCAGAGTCACCACGGCATGGCCGATAGCACCAGCGGCTTCGCGCACAATGGCACTCTCGATCTCGGCCAGCTCGATCCGGAATCCACGGACCTTGACCTGGGCGTCACCGGCCACGCGGCCCTCGATGGCGAGCAGGCCGCGGGCATTGAGTCGACCGTAGTCCCCGGTGTGGTACATGCGGCCCCAGCCAGCGGCCGTCTTGTGAGGGGGCGCAAACGGATCCGGACGGAACTGCTGCTCGGTCAGGTCGGGACGGTGGAGGTATTCATTCTGGCCGACACCAGCCCCGCCGATGACAATCTCTCCGGGGACGCCGACCGGGACCGGACGGGCATCCTCGTCGACAATGTAGACGGCGTAGTTGGGCAGGGGACGGCCCGGGACTGGCACCGCGAGGTGGAGATCGTCGACGTCGGCCACGCCCTTCATGGTGGAGACGGAAGCCTCGGTGGGTCCGTAGGTGGTGTAGACCTTCAGGTTGGGCAGTGCAGTGCGTAGGGCTCGGAACGAATCCAGCAGGCTCTGGGGTGCGCGCTCCCCACCGAACCAGGCGGAGGTCCAGGCCGTGCAGCGACGGAGGCCGTCAGGCGCGAAGCGGAACCACATGCCGTACTCCGAGGGCGTGGCGACGGTGAACGTGACGGCATGCTCGGCCATGAGACGAGTCAGCTCGGTGGGATCCCCGCGGGCATCGGCCGGGGCCACGACGAGACAGCCACCGGTGGTGATGGCACTGGCAATCTGCTTCAGGGAGCCATCCGAGGTCAGGGCGAACTGCTGCAGCACGACGCGGCCGGTGGTGGCAATGTCCCACTCGCGGACGAAGCCCTCGACCATGCTGCGGATGCTGGCGTGCTTGACCACGATACCCTTGGGGGTGCCGGTCGAGCCGCTGGTGAAGATGATGTAGGCCGGACGCTCCGGCTGGGCGGCAGGGGCGATGCGCTCGGCGTCGTCCACCGTGGCGGGGAGATCGGCGAGATTGATGATGGGGATGGAGTCCTCCGCAATCTCCGACGTGCGAGAGACGGTGTCGTGGTCCACCAGCAGGGCGGCGGGCTGGGCGGTCTCGACATAGCCCTGGAGACGTGGCGCGGAGACCTTGAGATCCAACGGCAGGTAGATGGCGCCGATGCGGAGAATGGCCAGCATGGAGGCGATCCAGTCGACCGCCGGGGTCTGGAATACACCCACGACGGACTGCTGCTGCGCTTGGTCGGGGAGCTGCGCCCGGAGGGTGCGGGCAATGCTCTCGACCCGGGCGTCGAGGGCGGCATAGGTTAGGGCATGGCCGAAGCCGTCCTTGACGGCCAGGTTATCCGGGTACTGGGCGATGATTTGGTCCACGCGGTGCGCAATGGTGGGCCATTCCAGCGGGAGATCGGTGCCTGCCACAGGTTAGTAGACAGCGGTTATCAAACTAAGAATAAAACATACCCTTGCCGAGCTCCAACGCCTTGGACACATCCGCCTTGTCCCACTTCTCCAGCTTATCCACCGTCAGCTTATCCCCGCTGGGCTTGACCACCTCGCGCAGGAGATTGACATAGCTGCGCAGGAACAGATCGGTAGCCTCCTGACTGTACAGCGCGTCCTGCATATGAATAACCAGCAGGGCACTCTCGCGATCCTCGACAATCTCCAGGGCAATATCATACGGACCCCGAGCCGGGTGCCAGCGATGATCGCGGACCTTGCATCCCGCCCAGTCCATCTCGGCCTGCTCGCGGGTAAACAGCTTGTAATCCATCAGGATCTGCACGACCGGCGGGTGGGTGTTGGACCGCGGCGCGGCCAGCTCATCCAGCAGCAGATCAAACGGCAGGGCCGAGTGCTCGAGCGCGCCGTAGACCTGCGCGCGGGCATCCTCAACGGCCTGGCCAAAGGCCTGGGTCGAGCGGTCGAACCGCAGCGGCAGCACATTGAGGAAGTTTCCGATACTGCCCATGAACTGGCTGTCGAGGCGGTTGGCGTCGGCGATACCGATGACCAGCGACTCGGTGCTCTCGGCCGGGAGCAGTCGGAAGAGCAGGGCCTGCAGGGCAGCCAGGTAGCCGTGGAACGAGGTGGCGCGGTGGCTGCGCGCCAGCTGCTTCATGCGGGCGGCCGTGGGAGCATCGAGACGGAGACGCGCCACGTTGGTCTGGTAGCCCTCCAGGGGCCGGCGGACCTGAGACTTGGCGAACGAGAGCAAGCCGACCGGACGGGCGAGGTCCACGGATGCCAGACGCTGGCGGAAGTACTCGATGGCGGAGCGCATCTGGCCCGCGTGGTAGGCGGCCAGCTGCTTCTCGCCAAAGGCGCGGGCCTGGGAGGCGGCCGGCAGAGCAGGCGCCTTGCGACTCGGGGCATGGTAGGCCTGGTTGATGTCGAGCATGAGCAGGTTCATGCTGTGGCCGTCCATGGAGATGTGGTGGGTGCCCATGAGGAGGTAGTGCTGCGTGGCGGAGACGGACAGCAGCCGCAGACGCAGCTGCACCCAGTCGCCCAGATCCCAGGGGTGGTCGCGCATGGCGTCGAGCGCCTGGATGGCCTCGGCCTCGGAGGCGATCGTGGCCGTCTCGAGACGGACCAGGGCGTGCGACAGGATACCCTGCATGGGGGTGCGGGCGTCGTCCGCGGACCAGAAGAAGCGCGTGCGGAGGGCCTCGTGGCGCTGGGCCACGGACTCGACGGCCGCGGCGAGGTCATCGACGCGGAGGGCGCCGGTGAGGGTGAACATGTAGGCGATGTTGAAGGTGGTGCGGTCGTCAATGTAGTGGGTCAAGAACCAGAAGCGTTTTTGGCCGTACGTCTGTGGCTCGGTGTGCTCCGTGGCCGCCGTCAGGATGGCCTGGCGGCGCGTCTCCTCGTGGTGACGCTCCACGGCCTGAATGGCCTGCTTGGTGTGCTCCACGCCATCGGCCACGTCCAAGGGCGTCTCCACGGGCGTGTCAGGGACCGACTGGGGGGTCAGGATCGCGCGGGGGCTGTCGGGGGCCGAACTGGTGGCCGTCTCGGTCGAGGACTTGGAGACCTCAACTACGGGGGCTGCCACCACCACCGCGGGAGGCGCAGACTTGGGAGCCGGGGCAGCCGGAGCCGGAGCAGCCGGGGGAGCAGGCGCCTCCTCGGTCTGGGCGCCATCGAGCAGCTCGGCGGGGATCAAGTCCATGACCGCATCGAGCAAGGCATCGACGGTCGAGCCGGCGCCCAGGATCTTTAGCACGGGGAGATCGGCATCAAATTCCTGCAGGAACCAGGTCCGGACCTCGACCGCCATGATGGAGTCGACACCCTGCTCGACCAGGGTGACCTTTTCGTTGACGCTCTCGCCCTGGGGAATCATGAGGATCCGCTTGAGACGCTCGAGGAAGGCCTCGCGGACGATCGCCTGGGCCTCTGCGCGAGACGCAGCGGCCATCAGGCGGGCCCGGGGACGCTCCGACTTGCCGGCACCCCCCGCGCGGCCGCCCTGGGCCACCGCATCGTGCAGCAGGAGATGCCCGAAGACGGGGTTGCCCAGAAGCACGGCACTGTCGCGAAAGGGCGAGACACCGGTACACACCTCGGAGCCCAGCGTGGTACCAGGGCGACCCGCGAGAACCGCCTCGGCGAACAAGCCGTGGAAGTCCTGCTCGGAGACATTGCGGTAGCCAATGCGGGTGAAATGGTCCTTGTCCAGGTGGTTGGCGTGCTCGAAGTAGCCCAGACCCTGGATGGAGGAGATGGCCATATCGGAGCCGGCCACGCCGCGCACGTCCCGACGGTTGGCCGCGAGGGCCGCCATGAACTGATTGCCCATGACATAGGCCGACTGACCCGTGTTCCCGACGACGTTGGCCAGGGAGGTGAACAGGATGAAGAAATCCAGGGGGGTATCCCAGAAGAACTCATCGAGGATGACGGCCCCGTCAATCTTGGGCGGGGCGGTCCGCTGGAGCGATTCCCAGGTAATGTCGTCGAAGAGGGCATCCTCGATGATCATGGCGCCGTTGGCCACCCCGATGATGGGAGGCAGCGCGGCGTGGATCTCCTGGACGGCGGCGCGGAGGGACTCGCGGCGCGTCACGTCAAGGGACACGGGTTTGATGATGGCGCCCTCGGCCGCGCAGGTGTCGATGAACCGCTGGCTGATCTTGGGGCGACGACTGGAGAGCACGATGTGCCGGGCCCCGTGGGCCACCATCCAGGCACACAGCGACTGACCCAGTTCTCCGGTCAACCCGACAAGGAGGTAGGTACCGTCCGCGCGGAAGATGGCGCCGTGGTCGATGGGCCGGACCAGGGCACGGACAGATGCCTGGGCAGTCCAGTCGACAATCGTCAGGGAGGCCTGCACCGCGGGGGATCCAGATACGTCCTGCAGCGACAGCCGGGGAACGTTCGGTGGGATCGAGGCGCGTCGGGAGCGGCTGGTCACCGCTTGCCAGGCCGCCTTGAGCGTGCGGGCAACCTGGTCGACCTCCTCGGCATCCGTGTCCGGGGAGAGACCAGCTTGCGTGCCCAGGAAGGTGGTGGCCGTCGCCTTGGCCGTGTGCGGCGCGATGGCGCGGGCCACGAGGGCTGCACTGGCCGTGGGCGACAGATCGACCAGGAACGAGACGTCGCGCGGCAATAAGCTGCGGACCAGGCGGACGGGCAGCTTGTCGTGCACAAAGACGTACGGGACCAGACGGTCATGCGTGGTCTTGCTCTTCTCCGCGGTGGTAAAGACCACCGGGATACCTTCGCGGGCAGCCTCGCGGTCGACGGCGTCCTTGAGCAGCGGATCGGCCTCGTGCACGACCACCGTGCCGAATCGTGGTGCAGCCGCCAGGATGGCTTGCGACAGCAGATTGGCAGCGACTCCGACCAGCAAGGTGCTGATGTCCCCAGCACTGTGGCCCAGACGGACGGTCCAGGCCACCGGCACGCGCGTCTGAGACTCCACCGCTGTGTCGGCCAGAGCCACGAAGCGGTGGTCGCTCTCATCCCTTCCCACCAGCAGGGTGAAGGATCCAGCGCGACCGACCTTGACGACTTGCAGCAACGACTGCTCGACGCGGAGGGTGACCGTCTTCCCGGCCGTGTGCAACGCCGGCAGCACCCGCAGCGGCGAGACAGTAGCCAGCTCCCAGGACTGGCCATCGGCCGATGCCTCCAGCACCAGGGTGGTCTCCCGGGGATCCACCTCATCGTGCACCGCACGACGGTAGGTATTATACCGCTTGTTCCCGGATTTGTCGTCCAACAGACGGGGAATCAGCAGCTTGCCATCCACATAGTGGTACTCCGGCTCGACGGTCCACAACAAGGACGAACCATCCTGCGCCTTCTTGAAGCGCGTGCCCAGCTCCAGACGGACGAGAACCTCTGCCACCCGCTGGGGCGTGGCCTCGGTGGCATTGTCAAAGTCGAGGATCTGCAGACTGACATTCGGATGCTCATGACGCACGACACGCGCCACCCCCAGGATGATGGAGGAGTAGGGCCGTTCGGCGCGGGCTTCACGGGTCACCCAGAGGATGCTGCCTCCCTGGCGCCAGATGGTCTTGAGACCCTCCAGCTTGGCGGCGGAGCGGACCTCGAAGAACTGTCCGTCCAGCTCGGTCAGGGACAGCACTGAGGCGCCGGGGGCCAGGCCGAGGGTGTTGAGTTCCTCCAGGGTCCGGACGTGGGTGACGGTGGGATAGCGTGCGCGGAGCAGGGTGCTCGCGCCCTGGACCAGCTCGGCCACGGCGGGGGTACGTCCACCGACAATGACCAGCTGACTGGGAGCCTGCGCGGGAATGGGAGCGGCGAGAGGCGCGCGGAGGCTGGTGACGCGCTCGTCGACGGCCTGACTGACCCAGACGGAGAACCAGGCCTTGTCGCGGGGGGTATGGGTATCGACGCCGCTGAAGCCGTGGCGGCGGGTCAATGCATCCCACTTCTCCTGTGACAGGGAGGGCCCCTGGCCGGCCCACCAACTCGACCGGCCGCCGAAAATGGTGGCCAGGCTGGGAGAATCGTTGGTGGCAACATCCAGCACGACGAGGTAACCACCTGTGCGCACGAGCTTGCGCGCGTTGGCCAGGGTCTCTTCGACGTTGTCAGCGGTATGGAGGACCGCAGACGCCAGGACCAGATCGTAGGAAGCTTCTTCCAAGCCTTGCTCGGTAGGGGAGACGTTCAGATCGTAAGTCGTGAACCCTAACCGCTCTGCCGAGGCGGGGAAGCGCGCGGAGACCCGGTCGAAGGCGTCCGAGGAAGCATCCGCGTACGTGTACGAGGAAAAGGCATCGCCCAGGGCCGTGAGGATAGAGGCAGTGGATCCCGCCGCAGTGCCCGTGCCGATTTCGAGAATATTGGTGCGCGGGAATCGGTAGGCGATCTGAGCAGCCACCCGGCCGTACCAGGTGCTAGCAGACAGGCTCTCGTAGAACCGGCTCAGCATCCCATCCGCGACGAGATGCTCCTCGATGCTACCGCCCCGACGGATCTCCTCGGCCAGATGCTCACCCGCCGCCTCGAGCAGCTGCATGTCGGCGCGGTCGTGGTACTTGGCAATAAGGGCATGAATAAACGCAGACGAGTCCTGCAACGCCGCGCGGGGCACCTGAGCATGTTCTCCCTTGGACACGACATCGACCGTGCGGGCCGCAACATCCAGCAACTGCCGGTATTGCGGCAAGGCATCGGCCTTCTCCCACTGGGTCAGGGACTCGTGCAGACGACGCAGGTAGAAGAAGCCGACGCGCTCGGCTGCCACCCGGGCAGCCTCATCCTCATCCTCGCCCTCCCGCACGAGCTCCGCATCCGGCACCGCCGAGCGGTAGTGCCAGCGCGTGTAGATCACCGTATCATCGCGGGGAGTGGCCGCCGCAAAGGGACGCATTTCGACCGCCTCGAACTGCACGAACGGGTGCGTCTGGGCCTCCCCCCCGGGGAAGATATCAATATCGACCAGCATGGCGCCCTCGGGAGCGGGACGCGCCGTGGTCTGGTACCCCAGGGAGCGGTTGCGGGTGGCCCGGAAGTCACAGAAGTACGGGTTGATGACCACCGAGCGAATGGAGGTGGGCACGCACAGGGTAAACAGGCGGTTGTCGTGGGGATGGCTGTAGGCGGCGAAACCCGTCTGGATCGCGGAATCCAACCAACCGGGGTGCACCCGCAATTGATCTTCCCAGGCATCGCCGGCCTCGTCCTCGATGGCGCCGGTGGCCCAGCCCAGCTTGCGTCGGATGCCCCGCACGCCGGTGAAGGGGGGACTGTAGTTGTACCCCAGCTGGGCAAACTGCGAGTACAGTCGCTCGGCCTCCGCGTCGACCAGGTTGATCTCGTCGGGCCGGGAGGCGGGCAGGGTATCCGGGGCCGGGACATGGAAGTTCACCGTGACGGTGGTGCTGAAGTTGAGCGCCAGGGGGGTGGCGCTGTCAAAGGGCAGTCCGGAGTGGCAGGCCACGCGGGCGCAGAGCTCGTCGTCCGTCGACCGCACCACGGTGAGAGTCACCTTGGTCTCCATGCCCGCCGTCTCATCCGTAAAGGCTAGGGCACGGCCGATGACCACATCCTCGAGGGTGATCAGTCCCAAGGGACGCTCGCCCGCGGCCACAGCCACCGCTTCCACCGCCAGCGACACATAGCCCATGGCCGGGAAGACACTCTGACCCTGCAAGGCGTGCCCCTGCAGCCAGCTATTCTCCGCCGGACGCAGGACATTCCGCCAGGCCATCTCATCCGCCGTTTCAATCTCCACCAACCGCCGACCCAGCAGGGGATGCGGCTTCGCGTGCAGATGCCGATGACCGCCCGAGAAGCGCGTAAGCGAGTTGAACGAGCGCGAGTGATCAAACGGATACGTAGGCAAGTCCGTCACAGCCTGCTTCGTCGGCGCACCGATCCCCGCGATCAACGTCTCGAAGCCATCAAAGTGGACCGAGAAGGCGCCCAGATGCGTCCATAAGAAGCCCAGGGCAGAGGCCAGCTCCACCACGTCGTCCTTGTTGCGGGCCAGTAGACCGGTATAGGGAATGGGATGACCACCCGTCTGCTCGATGGTATCGAGGGCTGGGCCCTTAAGGGCCGGATGAGGTCCGAATTCAATCGCGATGTCGAAGGGGCCGGCATGGGAGACGACCTGAGAGACGGCGGGCTCGAACAGCACCGCACTGGTCATGTTGTCGATCCAGTACTGGGGGTCCTGAACGTCCTCCTGGGTCATGACGTGACCACCACCCGCGATGACACTGGAGAACCAGGTAGTCTCGTTGCCCGCTTCCACGGCGTAGCCCGCCCGCGTCAGTCCCGCGCGGTAGGGTTCCGCGCACGGCAGCATGTGCGTGGAGTGGTAGGCCGTATCGACGCGAAGACGACGGGCGAATTTGCCCTCATCCTGGAAGATCGCCACGGCTTCTTCAATGGCATCCTCGTCACCGGAGAGGGTGATACTGGCGGACGAGTTACGGGCAGCCACCTGGATGCGGCCCACCATGTCCTCGAGCTCACAGAACTCCTGCGCATCCTCGAACGAGGTACCCACGGCCATCATGGCACCGGGTTGACCACCCGAGCCGGCCAGTTTGGCATACAGACCACGGTAGTAAGCGACGCGGATGGCGTTGGTCGCGGACAGGAAGCCCGCCGCATAGGCGGCACCAATCTCGCCAGACGAGTGACCGACCACGGCGCGCAGACGGATGTTCGCGGCGCGGAGCAAGTCGACGAGAACGATCTGCACGGCTGTGCAGAGGGGCTGCGCGACAGCGGCCTCCGCCAGGCGAGAGGACTTGGCTTGGGCGAGGAGTTGCCCGCTGAGGGTCCAGCTGGGACGATCGCCATCGGGGAGCGTGGCCAGGGCGCGCTGCAGCTCGGCGATGCGTTGGGCGGCAAAGGGGGAGTCCTCGATGAGACGAGCGCCCATGCGCGGCCACTGGGCACCTTGTCCGGTGAAGACGCCGAGGATGGCGGGCTGGGCCACGTCGTAGTACCGCGTCGTGAGGCCATTGTCGCTGCCGTTGTCGTCGGCCAGGAGGGCATCAATGCGCTTCACGGCCTCGGCCGGGGTGGCAGCGATGATGACCTTGCGGTAGGCGAGGGTCGAGCGACGCGTCTGCAGGGTGTAGGCCAGGTCGCGGAGGTTGGTGTCGGGGTGGGCTGTGAGGTAGTTCCGCAGGTCTTGCAGGGTGGCACGCAGGGTCGACGAGGAGGCGGCCGAGAGGATCAGGGGAGAGAATGCGGGCACCACGGTGACGGGGGACTTCACTGAGGGTTCCGGTTCCGGATATTCGAGAATAGCGTGTGCGTTGGTGCCACCGAATCCTACGTAGTGTCGGGTCAGTGTCTGTTCCTTATCCTATTCTCCGCACTTTCCAGTCAGTGGAACCTACCGAAACTGTTGACGCTCACCCGGCGCGGCTGGCCAGGGAGCGTGGTAGGCCAGGGCGTGGCACTGGTGGGAATCTTCAGATGCGTGTAGAATGGGGCCACGCGGGCACTGAGCTTCTTGAAGTGCAAGTTGGGAGGAATGGTGCCATGCTGCATGGCCAGCGCGGAGCCGATCAAGCTGGCCAGACCGGCCGCGCCCTCGGTGTGTCTGAGCCCTAGTCAGTGTATGTTCAGCCGGTATGGGATCAAACCTACCCAATCACCGTCTTGATGGATCCGACAAACAGCGGATCAGTCACCTTGCCATCACCAAAGAAAGACCGAGAAATGGCTTCGGCTTCCTGAGGATCACCCGCCGGCGTACCAGTACCATGGGCGTGGAAGAACTGCGGGCGATCTTTGGGGTCGTTGATGTCGAGGCCAGCGCGGGCATAGGTGTCCCGGATGAGCTCGGCCTGAGCGATGTTGCTGGGCATCGTTAACCCGGCTGTCTTGCCGTCCTGGTTCACTACATCGGATTAGCTGTGGTCAAATTCATTAGGCACATGGCGGGGAACCTACCAGCCGTCCCACGGATAATGCAGTCAATGTGATCGCCATCTCTCAGGGCCGCACTGAGAGGCTTCAACACAACAGCGGCAATACCCTCACCACGCGCATAGCCGTCAGCCGCAGCATCCCACATCTTGCTGCTGCCGGTGGGCGACAGCATGTGGAGACTACTCTCCTTGATGAACATGCCTATCACTATGGATCAGCCAAAAGTCCATTCCCTCACAATCACCATCAGTGGACTCACCCGGTGCCATAATCAAGTTCGCTCCCGCCGCAATGGCAATCGGACACTCGCCATTCCTTAGGGCCGTCACACCCTGATGCACCGCCACCAACGAGGACGAGCAGGCCGTGTCAATAGTCATACTGGGCCCATGCCAGTCAAAAAAGTACGAGACCCGATTCGAGACAATCGCGCGACTGTCACCCGTGGCGGCATACGTCGGCGCCAGGTCCCAGTCCCGGTTGACGATCTGCGCCCAGTCGTCGCACATCATCCCCACATACACGGCTGTTTTCGAGCCGCGAAGGTTTTCGATCGTTTGGCCACCCGCGCACCTGCAAGCCAGAGTCAGAAACCCCTACGAAAACAGTGGGATGGGGGGAAGAGGGGGCATACAATGAATCATAAACCGTCTCCATAATCAACCTTTGCTGGGGATCAATCGCCTCCGCCTCAGCCGGCTGAATATTAAAAAACGAGTTATCGAAGCGCGTGACATCCTCCTCGATGAAGTACGCATTCGTAGCATCCGACGCACCGTGATGGGATCCATTCGTGTGGTGGAAGCCCGTCGTGTCGAATCGGTCCTTGGGGATGCGCTGGGTGAGGTTCCGGGGGGCCTGGAGGAGGTCCCATAACTTGGAGGGGGAGTCTGAGCCGCCGGGAAAACGACAGGCCATGCCGATGACGGCGATGGGTTCCTGCTCTGATCCTGCCATGGTGTGTTGTACAGTGGGTGGTGTTGAAAATGGAATGGCTACAGGGGGGAAGGGATGGGCTGGAGTTGAGCCAGAGTCAAGAGAACGGATAGTTATAATGGGTGGTAGGCCAGATTACCTCGCGGCCATGTAAATGATTTGACGAGCTGTCTGATGCTAATCTGCAAGTTGGGGCTGGTAATAAGGGTCACCAGTGAGATCGGGACCTCCGACCATTCGGAAGATCGGTCAGGGCTGACACAGTCGGCCATGAGGATAATTCCACCACATGGCGAGATGCCACATGTTTCACCAAGACCCCACCCGATCTGCGCACGCCGAAGAGGCTCGATGAGAGACGGTAGTGGGGCAGGATGCCTCACGCCTCGCGGGTCGTCTCCGAAGAATACCGAGTTTTTGCGACGGTCGGAGATGGGGCGGGTAGCCCTAAGCACAGCCGGATGGAACCAAATCACGATGACCGTGATTTCGCAGACATTACAAGGCTACAGTATGTTCGGTGCTTCATATACGGGTTCATATCAAAGTCGGTGTGCGTTCTAAATATATAATGTCTACCCCAGCCTCCGACTCACATCATCTCCGTCTTGAAGGTTTGGCTCTCGCTCTGTCCGGAAATGGTTAGAATCGCTCTGTGTCAGATTTCGACAGGGTAGGTGTAGCATAAGAAGGAGAGCTCACACTCATCCAGCCATCTAATTCCGTAGTCGGGTTCATCATCAGATCCGCCATGTTGACGTTCGCCGACAAGCCCGGCATGTCGGGGTACAGGAACTCGGTCCCAAAGACGGCCGTCCCGGGGAGGTTCGCAAGGTAGGCTGAAGATGGTCAGTCTCCGATACCCTCTGCGGCACGTCGAGCAGTCACCCGTGCTAGCAGGGTGGTTTACCTTCGTAAGAGTCCCAGTTGGGCGGATCCATCAACGGGACAGGGTCCTGGGGAGGGACCCATGGAGCAGGTCCCACGGTCGTAGCACCCACCAACGGGGCAGGTTCGGGTCGTCCGCGAAGCCCCAGCAAAGGCCCCAGATGCTCCACCACCCGTCGGGCTTCCCGCGACACGGCGCTCGAACGGAGCCACAGCGGATACGTGTTGCGTAGTAGATTGTGAATCCGTAGGCCGGTGTCCGAGTCGAGGGCGACATCAGGTCGGGACTTGGTCAGCTGGACGTAGTAACAGAGAATGCTGATGCCCAGTAAGAAGACGGCCTGCGGGCGCGACGACATGAACATCCACCGCACCGGATACAGCAGCCCGTCCCGCTGGGTCTCTTCGTCCACGATCTGCTGAAACTCGAGGATCTTGATAGCCGCCTGCACACAGGCATTGCGCGAGTCCTGGTAATGAGCCGGGCTATACGCCGGAGTGAGGTACTTCCGGTGCAGCCAGATGGTCTGTCGCTGGATGGCGAGCTGGAGCAGCACGCGGTGCATGACAATCTGCGGCAGAACCATAAACGACTGGCTCAGCGGCTGCCAGCGGAAGATGGGCGGCAGGGATGCCTCGGCCTCTTGCAACTTCCGGTCCAACTCCAGGATCTCCGAGTGCGGGTGCTCCCGCGTGTCATTGACGAGATCACTGACCAACCCGTTCATCTGGTCGATCCGGCTCTTGGCCAAACTATACAGCACGGGTGTCACCTCGGTCTCGGGCCGGGACGCGGGGAGCTCGGGGGTATTCTCATCAAAGTCCGTGTCCAGCAGGTTGCGGGGCTCGGTGGTATCATAGTGCTGCAGCTTCAGCAGGCGGGGCAGGGCCATCTGGCTGGAGAGGCGCAGATCCAGCTGCACGATGACGGCCCACACGCGCCGCCGCATCTCGCCGGCAAAGGGGGTGATATTGCTAAAATTGTGGGGGTCGCGGTGGTAGCCCAGACTCAGGGCCAGCTGCACCAGCATGCCTTGCACCAGCCAGAGGCCGATCTCGCCGTCCTTGGACAGGAACATCTCGCTGGTGAGGTAGTTGATGAGGGTTTCTAGTACATAGTCGCCTCCCCGGGTGTACTCGCTCAGAACGAGACAGTTAATGGTCTTCTCGCGGAACACGTTCACCCGCATGGGTGTCTCGGGGTCGGTGGACTCCTCGATAGACTGTTGATACTGCGTAGTGACACACATGACACTAAACAACAGGCCAATCCAGGCCAAGGATGCTGCCCCCGGGTCCTGCCAGAACCGTTCATACTGTCCCACCTCGTCAGCCCAATGGGACATGGGGAAGTAATGCAGATAATTGAATACCTCGCGGAGAAAATGGCCACTGTGCAGGATTTCCGGAACCACCCCCTGTGCATTAAAGTACCGGGCCACCATGCGATCTACGACCGGCCGGGCAGGAATTGCTGCCAGAAGATCGGCCTTGGTGTCCTGCACGGGCTCGTAGAGCAGACGCGGGCCCGGACTAGGGCGCAGCACATGGTCGCCAGCCAGCATGCGCGCCTCTTCCTCCTCCTCGTAGTGGTCGCGGAGCTCGGAGATGCTATCGAGAACGGCAGCCCAGTGGACGCTGCCGACATAATTGGCCCCATGCGAGTGCAGCCGCATGCTGCCGTACTCCGACGGGGCGGGGGACCCCAGGCGTTCTTTACTCTGCGACAGCGACGCATGCTTCATGGCCGGCACCAGCGTGTCCTCGTCCATGGACCCGGACACTCCCCCGTAGCCTTGGGGCGAGGCCCCTGGGCTCCCGTGGAATGAATGCACGGGGGAATCCGTCGTCAGGCCATCGGACGGCCCGGTCTGCTGCTGCTGCTGCTGCTGCTGAAGCAGCGAGCGTACCAGACTTTCGAGCTGCTGAATGCGATCGCCAACACTGACTTTGTTCTTGCGGGATGGGTCCGATCGGTAGGTACAAGAGAACCCGATGCCCCGGTTGGTACAAGTCTTGCATGGCAACTGGCGATCGCATCGGACCCTATCTCCGGACACACCAGTTAGTAAGTGGATCCGCATGGGTGCCAGGCAACCAGGGTGACACGTGAGTGATTACTTGCGACTACGGCAAAAGGTGCATGACAGCAGGGGCTTCTCGCGCCGCCGGTCTCGCAGGCGCAGAGATACATCTGCAGCCGTCGCGTCGAGTTGCTGGGCTGGCGGTTTCATCGAGCCAGGATCGGCCGATGGTGGATCCATCGTGACGACGGTGACGCAGGAGGAATAGTTGGCTTAGGTCAGACGGGATAGCCGCAAATCTCTGATCTTATGGATTGCAGGATCGGATGGTGGCAAGGCGCACCGGGGGGGGTTGACGAAGGAGTCGACGGAGGAGTCGACGGAGCAATTCGCGGGGGAACGAGAGACGGAGGAAACCACGGAGCAATCGACGGAGCAAATGACGGAGCGACTGGCGGGCCCGACCGGGTCGATTTAAGTCGGGATTCCGTGGGTCAGCCCAGGGTCCGTTAGGGCCAGTCCGGGGCCAGTTAGGGTTCGTTAGGCGCAGGTCGGACCCGCGAAGGCGCCCGCTAACGGAGCAAATCCGGGGCAATTAGGCGACGTAAAAAGCAGCGCGAGGGACGGCAATCCTTCGCTCCCCCCTCATGGCTGCCTGCCCTAATTCCCTCCCACCACTCATCTGTTCAGCATGGCGCACAGCCATTCCGACAGTGACCACACCGTCTGGGACGAAACCCGCACCACCGCTGCCAAGGACGATTTGGAGACCGATTCTGACGAGAACCTGCCCGAGGCTGCAGAACCCCCCACGGATAGCCAGCCCGTCGAAAAGCATGTCGACACCGATGTCGAGAAAGGTGCACCCGCCCAGGATCCGCCAGTTGCCCCCGTCGATCCGAATATCGTCAACTGGGATGGCCCCGATGACCCGGCCAACCCGCGCAATTGGTCCAAGAGCTACAAGCTGGTGAATGTCACGCTCGTCAGTTTGTCGGTGTTGTATGTCAACCTGGCCACCACCATGTTTGCGCCGGGTGCCTCCATCATGCAGCGCGAATTCGGCTACAAGAGCTCCACCGTCGAGATCCTGACCGTCACCATCGCATCGCTGGGGTTTGCCATTGGTCAGCTCTTCGTATCGCCGCTGTCTGAGGTCTTTGGACGCATGCCCATCTACCGCGTCAGCGCCATCTTCTACCTGGGCTTCACGGCCGGCTGCGCGCGCAGCACCAACGTCGCCGAGTTTCTCGTCTTCCGCTTGTGTACCGGCTTGTCTGCTTCCTCCTACATGTCCACGGGAGGCGGTACCGTTGCCGACTTGTTGGAGAAGCAGGAACGAGGAGTGGCCATGGCCATCTTTACGGCGGGACCCCTCTTTGGTCCGGTGTTGGGTCCGATCATCGGCGGTTTCGTCACGGAGAACCTGAGCTGGCGATGGACCTTCTATCTGATTATGATGCTAGTGAGTTGATTCCTCTGGTGACTATGTGATCCCGCTAACCGTTGGTGTGTGTCCGATAGGCCGGAGCCGTCTCGGTGGCGTCGTTTCTCATCATGCGCGAAACCAGTGCAGTGGCCATTCTCAAGGCCAAGACCAAACGTCTGATGAAGGAGACCGGCAATCCCAACCTGCGCGCAGCCGGCGACCGACAGATTCCGATCCAGGTGCTTGTGCGACATGCCCTCGTCCGTCCCATCAAGTTTCTCTACCAGTCGCCTGTCGTCTTCCTCATCTCCCTCTACATTGCGTTCAATTTCGGGGTGACCATGCTCTTGCTGGCCACCTTCCCGTCCATCTATGAAAATACCTACCACTGGAGCGTGGGCATCTCCGGACTGGCATACATTGGGGTCGGTGTGGGCTGCGCCATTGGAGTATTCATCTTTGCCAAGTTCAGCGATCGCCTGGTGAAGCCCAATGCTGGGGGCACCTATCGCCCCGAACGGCGTCTGATCTTGATGATGTTTGTGTCACCGCTGTTCCCCATCGGCCTGTTCATCTATGGCTGGACGGCCAAATACCGCACGCCATGGATTGCGCCCATCATTGGCACCGCCGTGTGCGGGCCCGGGGCGGTGGTCATCAGCTCGTCGGCGCAGACGTACATGATCGATGTCTTTGGGCCGCAGACCGCAGCGTCGGCCCTCAGCGCCATCACGCTCCTGCGCAATCTGACAGGAGCGTTTCTGCCACTGGCGGCGCCGTCGCTATACGACCACCTGGGTCTAGGCTGGGGGAACAGCGTGTTGGCGTTTATTACCATCGGATTCATTCCGATCCCGTTTTTGTTCTATCGCTATGGCGAATGGTTGCGGACGAAGTTTCCGGTCAACCTGTAGACCGGTCTGTGTGTACTCTATTCTACTTCTGTATATTTAGCATTATCTATTCCCGGAAGGATTCCCATTTGTTTTCCTGTCGTCGGCCGTTGATTGGTGCCATTCCAGGCGGTTCCATGTTAAATGGAGTCAAGCTTATCCCCTAGTCTGCTGAGACCCACATGGGGTCGTAATATCACACAATCGCGCAAGGATTTTCCGTGCTCCCCCCCCTCCTTCAGGATGATTTATGCCAAAGAATAATTGTTGGACTGCCCCGCACGTCATCCCCTCACTCTACTTCCCTGGTGTTGATTGGCCACCCTATGAGGGGGGGAATACGAGCTGCCTTGGGGGCCAGAAGGCGGTCTCGCATCACCCTGAAGACTGTCCCCCCTAACCCGTTTGTTGCCAGAGAAGCTTCCATAATACGAGGCCGAAAAGCATTTGATGAGCCCCCACACGGGCGGCCTGAAACCCAGTCCTTCACGTGGCGGCTCATGGCTTCCCATCCCTGCGTCCAGGCGCCATCGGCCACCGATCCCTGGTTCATCGCCGTCCTGTCGCCATAGCCCCAATGGTTCCAGATCGGGTCCCTCCCCCCCC